GGCGGAGATCGTCTGAGTCACGGGGGAAGTCGTCGTAGATTGTGAACCGGATCCGAACACCCAAGCAGAGCTTGAGCCAGTCACTTGGCTAGGGTTTTGAGTGCCACTTGGACCAGAGCTGGACAATGCGCTTGATGGTTGGGGGTGTGCCGAAGAAGGAAGCGCAGTTGCAGTAGAGCCAAATAGCGGAGTGGACGTCTTCGAAGCGGCGGGCGCCGATGACGGTGGGGCGGATGAGGACGGTTCAGGCGTACTTGTTACTGCCGGTGTGTCTGCGGTCGGAGAAGAATACGCAGGTGAGGCAGTCAGGGATATATTAACCGAAACTGTGGCAGAAAGCGACAGGAGCAATGAGTCAGTGTCTGTTGACGAGCCTGTAGTCGCGGGAACGGTCGACTCTTCAGATATCGTCGTCGGTGCAGTAGCCGAAGTGCCGGTGCTAGTCTGCGAATTGCTGTCGACCACGTTGATGATAGTCGCAGACACCGTAGCCTGATCCCCCGTGGCTGTGTCTGATTGCTGGCGCTTCTCGAGGGACAATCCCTGACTGTCGTGCACATCCTGTGCCTGCATCACCAGGTCCAGGGTTAGCTCACCCTCCATCCCATTTTCAACCGTCTGTTGCGGTATGATTGTCGGCGTCGCGGAGTTTTCTGGACTCTTCCCAGTTTCGCTAAAGTATGCAGAATCCAATTGATATTTCTTCCGCATTACTCTGTTGAACCGAGCGTGTCCTGTGCCATGATGGGCCATCCTGATAACATCCACGTCTGGCCGAAATATCCTGTGTATGTGCTGAAGTGCGGCGACTGCTGACCGCAGCTTCGCAAACTCGAAAGAATGGTGAGAGAAGTGATCTCGAAATGAAAGCGAAGGACTGTGAAGCGAAGGGAAGTGTCTGCCTGCACGACACGGATTCTGACGGCAAAGGAGCGCGGTGATTAAGTCGATCGAAGGCGACTGTAGTAAAGTCGAACACAAGGAGCGTAAAGAAAGAGACGATAGTCAACTTTTGAGTGATGGTAAAAGAAAGGCGGCAAAGGCGAATAATACTAAATCAATTGTCGAAAGAGTGACTGCGGTAGAGTTGAGCGGATGAGAGCTTCCACGTCTATTAGAAGCCTCGAAATCGTAGCGAATACCAATGAGCGGACGTCGGCTGGGATATACAGCCGACAAGTATCGAATAATTAGAGAAAGAAAAATGACCGAAAGGCATCAACAGAGATCTATTCGCCAGGGTAAGGAACCCGTCAGCATTGAGCAACATCATCCTATCATCCAGCATTCAACCCATACAATCGCAAGTCGAATCACATACCTGCAAGAACGAAAGGACAGGAAAGAAAGAAAACACGGCGACTATTTTCTTTTTTGTTTTTTTTCTTTAAACCGAACTATCCGTTTTCGAGCTTCGCAGGTGATTATATCTCAAGCGCCCCTCGAGTCCTAATCCATAATTGCCGCACAAGCAAGTGTACTGAGTGAAACGTGCACGTCGGTCGAAGAGATTAATATCACCACCCTTTCCCTTTCCCTCAGGGCCCGTCAGGTACGAGGTGGTGATTACTGGATGGATATGTATGCCGTTCCCACAATTGACCCTCCAACCGGGACGAGGATCCACGTCTAGACCAAGGTTCCGGCCTCGGGATTGCTACCACTCTTGCTTCACCTTCTTGGTTCACCCAGGAAACGTTGGCGTGGTTCGATTGGGTCCTTTACGGCATCAATTCACACCGAACGGGGATTTACCGCCTGCTCACAAGTTGACGGGTGCTGAGATGAGTGAAGTGCGTGGGTGAGTGATTCCCCGTCAACGAGATCCCGTCTGCTGCCTGCTTGCTACCTCCGGGGAGACTTAGGGGAGAACAGAAAAGGGGAGAAGGGAAAAAGAAGGTGGAAAGAAGGCAAAGAGGGGAGGAGGGGGGGGTAAGAGGGGAAAAAGGTAAGAGGTTAGGGTAAAGAAGACGGTGATCGAAGGTGATGAGAAGAGGAGGAGGAGGAGGGGGGGGGAAAGAGTAGCAGCAAAGTCTAGGGAAGAGAAAGACAGAATGGAAAGGGAAGGGAAGCGAGCGAAAGAGCGACGGGGTCGAGACAAGCTAGGCTAGTTAGTCGTTAGGCAGTCCGTCAGTCCCGTCAGTCAGTACTAGTAGTAAGTGACCCGCGTGGGAGAGCATCGATCAGGCCAGGCCTAAGAATAACAACCGTCTGGTCTTAGACCTGCAGCGTCACTAAGGCACGGTGGGTGCGGTTACCGACCCATCCCGGTTATGGACTTAGTACCACTTCAATACGGCCGAGTATGCCCAAATGAGCGCGTTCTTTTGCCAGGAAAATTTTTTTTCTTTTCTGCTTTCCCTCGCCCCATTTGGGATCACGTAAGTGAGAAGATATTAGTTATAACGATAGTGAGATCATTCCTTCTGCTGACGGCAAAACGGGAATTATACCCGACCGCAAAAATGTCATGATTTGCTTGCCGAGCTGCAGCTCCTATGTACCCCATCCGGAGAGAGTGGGCAGCAGCCGCAGCGCTCATCCTTGTCGCTGGTACGTGATAATCCATCCCTACCTACATATACATATGTCTGGGATTTCGTGGATGGACAATTGCTTTTTCTCTGGTTTGCGCAGACCAGCTCGCTTGGGATCCGTCAATACACACGAATTCTTGTACGGCAGATACAGTACGATAGACTCGACCCAATTTGGGGAAAGACATGGATTGCTCTTCGTCATTGGTCCGGGGCGCTGTCCGAAAGGGGGGAAGCCAAGCCTGAGTTTAATAAAACGCCGGGCGCTAAGTTTCATTAGATGTTTGTTTACGCCGGACACACAATCTAACTAGACCACGCCTGTTAATTAGAGACCCGGCTGCAATATCATCCAAGTGCCTATCATATCTCATCATCCACGGTTTTGTCCCGTGTCAAAGGCCGTCTAATCAGGACCAGAATCTACAGCAGGTAGACAGACGACCTAACCCCGTGGTGGTCTAGTTTTCACACCGAGCAATCCTGCATACAAGCTTGACCTCGCAGACAGACAGGGGGCCAACAACCAAAATCTCGTTACTAGTTCACATAGCAATCCTGTCCGTTGCTGATGCTGCATGCGCTAGCAGGGAGCAAACAAGACATCACCAATACCAAATCACAACCCAAAAACTCACAGAAAGCAGGTAGATACGGCAGGATTTCGACCCCATGAGGCCACCAAAACAACAAGACAACATCCACACCCACACACGGGATCCATCATCTAATCGAGAACACGATTCATTAATCCACATTACGAAGGAAAAAGTCCATCTAGAGTCTAGACACACACACCCACAACGTCCCGAAGTTCTTCCTAGGTCCCACGCAATGATGCAAGGGACTCACTCCCTAACGACTTTCTAAGGCTTTAGCCGCTGCGATGTCACCACTCACCACTCACTCTGCAAGGTACGCCCCATCTGAATCACACTCATCCACAACAGACGATGGATCGTCGCTATCGAGATGAACAGGGACTAGTCGAGTCATGCAAGAGGATGCACTCCATAAGCTCAACTCAGTTAGCTAGTATCAGATCCCAGCAGTAGATACCTGAGTCAGCTTATAATCTCTCTCCCCAAGACAAAAAGAGAAGCAAAGAAAAAAGAAAAAAGGAGAATATTGGTGACTAGGCAGACAAACAGAATTGGCTGCGGTTTTGATACACGTATACGTACGTATGTCTCTTTTCCGTGTCTCAGAGCCCCACCTCACTCTCTAGAACCCGCTATTTATATCGCAGCCCGGCCGGCTCCTGTCATGTTCATCTCCCGTCCGGCCATCGAGAACAATCTTGGAAGCTTCGAGGAATGTTCATCATTGCTACTGGAAGATCTCGGGGAGTATCTAAATGCTTAGAACTGGATTAATCATGTGACATGTAGGACGTGATTTGCATTTCTCACTATATGCAAAAAATCATGATCAATCTGACACAGTACCTAAGTGATCGACATTCTCATCATGCAAGATCCTAGCATATATCTACATCAAAGAACATCAAGCAAAGACATCTAACATTCCTCAATCATTTACCGACAAACATCATGGTTAAAAGCTCTGATGGTCATAGATTATTTCCCCTAAGAACTATTCACATGACCCTTTGTATGCTCTCATGATTGCCAGACATCATCCTCACACTGTCGTAGCTGAAACAATAAACAATAAAAATGTACAAGCTTCTAGTTGAGTACCGACATTAAAAATAAATGATTAGCAAGAGAGCCCCTCACTGAGCTCTCAAACCACCACATGACTCAAGCAGATTAAGCTCATAGCCAATTTACCACTTATTACTGTCTAACAATTCCCCTGTCTGCATTTCTCCTCTCCCCGCAATGCTTTGAAACATCCAACATACTCATAATACCACCTGACAGATAGCCATATATTGACACAGTGGTACTATGAGGAATATAAATATGCGCTACGCATCACTCAGTTTCCCAACTTCAGCACCTTCTTTTTGAGATCCACACGCACACACACACAAGGCCAAACTAATATTCCCAATGAGAGCACATCGTGTCGTATCATATTGACACATTGTGGGCGTGTCTCACTATCATGCCGTGTCGGGCCCTCATATATATTAAATGGTGAATATCAATTGGACCAGGCTGATGTAAACGAACGGCTGGCGGAATGGCAATGTGGGATCGTCTTGGTATTGATTCTGATTTACTAATGTGAATATATTGAACATTGAAATGTAGTAGCAAGCAGAATTGTGTGGCGGGAGCTGTTGCCGGTAGCTTAGTCGTGGCTTGTTGATGAGGGCAGTGTTGAATTGTTTGGTCTTTAAGTTGGAGCAACGAAGAGCAATAATGCATATAATTCACTCATACAAGAGTTGCTTATCAAGTAGTATGATCAAGATTAAAGGACCATTGATCAACAGTTTACTGCATCAGGATTAGTCTGCCGATGGGAACGGCGCATTGCGTATGTCGACGCACTTAATTCATTCCACGTATTGGAATACCTTTCTATCAGTATCAATGCAGGCTAGAGAAGAGAGAGGAAGAAAGAACATGGGAATGGAACCTGCTTCCAACTACCTGTCGAGACAGAGAAGAAAGAAAAAGACTGTGTCACAACTATACAAAGGGTCTGCATCTCGCCAGCCACTCTCCTTGCTTTTTCACTCCTCAACCCCGCACCCTACTCGCATGTCTGACCAACGGTCTAAACAGAAGGAAAACTAGTTAAAGACATAGAGACGCCGTAAGACGACTGACGAACGCTTGTGCTACACATGAAGGGGTATTAATAATGGGACGAACATTATTAGGTATGAACTTAGAAGGTCTCAAGTTCATCCGCCCCAGCCTCCGCTTCGGGAATCTCGAATCCCTCCTGCAACACATGTTAACCTCGGATTCGGGAATGAGAAGCCTCCTTGACAGGCAACAAAAGAGGTCCGGCTAGTGTGGAATCATACCTCCGTCGAGTACAGAATGCCCTGGATGTGCTTCACCAGGGAGTCATCATCCTTTTCGAGCTCCGGATCGGCCTCGATGGCGCTCTGCAGAAGCAATTCGATGTCACGCAGCTTGGCAAAGTAGAAATCCCTCTCCTTCTCCAAGCCAGCAATAGCCTCCTTTTGCGTAGCAATCTCCTGCTGCAGCGCAGACACGTTGGCAGCGCTTGCGGCACCAGCTACACGGGGGCGGGCGGCGCCAATGGTAGGCGTAGTACCACGGCGTGCCGCTCCGGCGGAGCTTGCACCTGCGCGAGAGCCACCCGCAGTGGCGGGGGGACCACCGGAGGCCTTGCGACGAGCGGCGGCATCGTAGTCACCACCCGGGTAGTGTTGGTCCCAGTACTTCTTCGTCCACTGGAGGAACTCAAGGTTGTCCTGCATACGGCATTTCGTGAGAGATTCGACGGGAATCGGCTTGTCGACCTGGTGCTTGGCAAAGACGTCTAAACAGGCCTGTGTTAACGGAAACAGCGTTCCCAAACCACAATTCGTTCGGAAGAGGCGTACTCTGAAGAACCTTGAAGTTCTGAAGGTAGGCGTATTCGGTGTTGACGTTGAACTTGACGCGAGACATGGGGACATCCACTAAAAGGCAACTAGTAAGCCACAAATCCAGGCGGGGGTGGAAAAAAAGGGGTGGGCTCGTCACGCCAACTCACTAAATATCGAATCGAAGATCTGGCACAGAGCGGCACTGTACAATCATTCCGTCAGCCTATAGGCCTGAGACATATCTAATTGTTTGTTGAAAGCGCTGCTGAGGCGTCTGCTGCAGCCGACTTTCCACGTCTGTCAGGGAGGTTCCTACCCAGTTCCGCACTGCTCAACCTTGGTCATGTTCAACTGCAGCAGGTTGTTGATCCATGCCAACAGCTCTTGTCTGTTATCCTGGATTGTTAGCCTTGGGTGCACAGGACCAACAAGCCGTTCTGAACAGAGGCAGATGCCCGACGAACCTGGATTCCGACATAGTGGGGTAAGTAGTGTAGGAGAAGGCTGAATGCCGGGCTAGAAGGAATGCAGGGTTTGGCAGGGGGTTGCAAGTATCGGAGAGGAGTTAAAATAAGAATTAGTAACAAAGGGAAACACCCTGTAGCGCTGGATCTGTCTTGTTAATTTCGAAGAAAAACAAAGGCCAAGTTGAGCAGATGGGGATGTTTTGTTGCTGTCGACAAAACCCACGGGACTGCACACGCTAAGCCGCTTTTGGAAAATCCACAACGGTACCTAGCCTTCCCAATCTACGGATGCCTCAGGCTAGAATTGCACCAGACGGAAGCCGAAGTTCTTACACGCAAAAACAGCCTAATTGAAGTAGATTCTGGTTCCAAGCAAATGAATTAATAATTTGAGCAAATATGTAAGCATCTATCGCTAGCCAATGTATGTCCCTGCTAATAAACCCAAGAAGAAAACCCGCATATCCCAAAAACTCCAAAGCCCAAACTTTTCCCCAGCAAATAAGCGAATAGCAAATGTCTAGCCAGATTTATTACTCTTTCAGTAAGTCTATGCCATCTAGTCCATATCCAAAATCCATTATGACAGCGCGAGAGTCTTGGCTGGTGGCCACAATGCGCCGATAGTCGGACTTGACGCTGAGCATCCAGCTCGTTGTCCAGCCTGGAAGGTCAATGGAAAGCTCGCCACTTTGAGCATCAAATACTTTGACACTCATGTCGTAGCTACCACTGACAATTCGTTGATTCATGCTGTCCAGGTGCAAGGAGCGAACCAAGCCTGCGTGGCCCTTGAGCTCGTTGACCATTTCGCCGGTATTGGCGTCAAACTGATAGATCACTTGGTCGTTGCCACCAGTGAGAATGGTTCGAGCATCATCACTGAACTCGACACACGCCAGTCCACGGTCCTTGCTGGGGAACTCCTTGACACAAAGACCAGAAGTGATGTTCCAGAGCTTGGCTACGCCGTCTCCGCTTGCAGAAACGACCAGATCTCCGCGCAGCTGAACAGCATTCACCGGTCCTCGGTGGCCAAGGAGTTTCTTCACCAAGGCCCCTGTGTGCCGATCCCACACACAGATGGTAGTGTCTTTGGAGCAGGATACAATGTACCGGTCATCAAAGCAGACATCCAGCACTCCTGCCTGGTGGCCCACTAAGCGACGAATCGGCTTGTAGTCGTTCTTGATGTCCCACACGATGCAGGTAAAGTCAGACGAACCGGTGACCATGATCTCTTCATCGAACTGGAGACAGAGAATGGAAGCACTGTGATAGTCCGCGCTGTGCTCAATAGGAGCCATGATGCCCGCAGAGCGCGTCGGCGGAGGGCAAATGGTCAAGAAGGGCGGCTTTCCAGCTGATTGCTGCGCCGGGTTATTGACCGGACCAATACCGGAGACATCGCCCGGAGGAGGGCCAATGATTTTCCGGCATGGCCAAGGGTAATGAGCGTCCCAAACTCGGATGGTCCGATCGCGAGAACCCGTAATGATTTTGTCCCTGGGACATAATTAGAAAAAGCTTGAATGCGAATCTTAACCATGGAAAAACTCACTCATCAAACTGCGCACAGTAGACACTGTCCTTGTGGCCGTGAAGGTAGATAGCAGCAGCCTTCCCTTCTTTCCACCTATGTTCCAGAGCACGGCGAACGAGGAACATCCGCTTCCAATCCTGCTTAGGATGAGCCTTGCCCAAGCCAGCAGACTGTCTCTTCTTGAAAGGAAGCCCGCTAGGGTGTTGTCCGTAGGTATGACGAAACACGTGCCGCCAGATGTGCTGGGAGGATGCCTGCTCACTCCAAGCACGTGAAACCAGTTCAGACTGCATGAGGGACTCGGGATCGAGGTAGGAGAACACCTGTGACATAACCTCAGGAGGAAGGCAGCTGACAGGATCAATCCGTACTATGGCCAGAGCTGGGTCAGATAGCTCCGAGCGATCGCGTAGATCGATGCCAATGCCACTTTCCGAATCTTGGGTCAACTTAGCATCCGAGAGCTTGATACTGTCCCGCAGAGCTCTTGCCAGCTCATTCTGAGCTGCAGCTGCAGCGCGAGCAGCCGCTCCCGCATAAATATCGTTCGAGAAAACGGGTGGCTCCAGGCCATTTCCGGGAACAGGGGCGCCAGCATGGGCGTAGAAGCCATGTAGCGCGGAAATACTCTCAAGTGAAGGTCGACGATTAATGCTGGTTTCATTGCACCAAGAGTTTCTCATGGCTTCTGGTTGAGGATGAACGGAATGCCTGGACGACTTGTTGCGGAGCGTCACTGAGAGGCGACGGCCCAGAGCTCGCAGACCGTCCACGGGATGGCGTAAGCTGGAGAAGCTCTTGGCTTCACGGCGCCTGGGAACAGGCTCCGGGAAATGGTTCATATCTTCCAAGACCTGGCCATCGTCATCATCTCCTGAATCCACCACAGACAGCCCATGCCACACATCATGTTCCAATCCGGTTGTATGAGCAGTCGAAGTTGTAGCAGTCCGGGGCCGAGTGCGGAGGGAGAAAGAGGGGCGTCGACGGGAGGTAATAGTGCTGGAATCTCGTGGAGCCATGACGACGATCGATGTCACAGTGACAGTCTCAATTAAGGACAGCCACGCGGGGGACACTTAAAACGAAGCGTTCTCGGTAGATTGTTATAGTATAGGAATCGTGTAAAATTCCCTTTGCGCGGCTGAGACACACCCTCAGGGGTCAGACGCAAGGGTAACGCTGCTGGTCAAGGAAGAGATATGTGATGCGTCAATAGGGGATATAGGGCGGTATCGAGAGGCTGAATGGCGTAGGTAAGGGGAGAAATCGACAGAGTAGCAGCCCGAGTGACCAAGGAAAAGACCGATGTGATCAACAAGAACTCCTGATAACGAACACCAACCGCCCGGGTGAGTCTGATAGGTAAATCGATAGTAAATAACCAAAAACAAAAGAGTGCAAGAGGGGGTGCGAGAGAGGGATGGGCGCGAAAGATGAAGAGAGAGAAGGGAGGGAAGGAAAGAAAGTCCTCAGAGGATCGAGCGTAGAAGAAACAACCCAAAAGAATTAAACCCCAAGACCTAGCGACTGCATGGAAAAAAGAAAAAAAAAACAACACTACTGGCAACAAATCTAATAAAAAAGCTGGAGGCATGGGGATCGGGCGAGAGAAAAGGGAGGCCCGCCGCCCGGGCGGTGAGCCTCTTTTGCCCCCCAGCCCGATCAGCCCCGACCCGGTCCAGGCCCTTGATTGGCTCTCCCAGGCTGACTGGTGGCGGGCTTCAATTTCTGCTAAGTTTTAAACCATGAAAAGATGTGTGCCGCGGATATTTTTCCTTTGTGCTGGCCATTGTTCGCCCCTGTCAATTAGGGTATCCGTAAGGCTCGCATGGCTCAGATGGCAGAATGGGATTGGATTTGATCCCAGGTGTCTGGCATTCAGGTGGATGCCTGATGAAGAGATGTTTGGTGTCCTACATACCATGCACGTCTCAGCGAAGAAATCTTGTTCAGGCATTAACATGTATCTGATCTGTAGTGGGTGGGGAGGAGTCACTCCTGCATTAAGGTATCAATTCTTGTAGGAGATGTTTGAGGTCTAACTCTATGTGTACCCATTTTTCGTCTGTGCATGCCGAGAGTCGAGACGAACCCCTTTGTCTTCTTGTTCCGACTTAGGGATCGACTCCATCTCATCTCCATCTTCTTCCCGCCCCCGTGGGGTTGCCAATCCTTCACGGTCTGGCCCACTTTGTCAGTGCCAGTTGGCCAGGCAGGAATTCGTTGTCAACCACAATGCAATTATGCCTCGTGTGATCGGCCATTGCTCAACTAGACACATTGGAGATTCTAATGCTCTGCTTGTGATTGGAATTTGTGTAAATCATGTACTCACTGACCTAGTGCTTAGTCGTAGCGTAAGTCTGTGCGACTATCCGGGTCACAGCCTCAATCGCTGCCGCCTGAACAAAGAGAGAATCCTGTAACGGGGGATAATGATCCCCTTCAAACTGGGCTATCCGAAAGGTTCAAAGCCCCTTTCTCAATCCTCAAGGCCAAGGGGTTAGCATAGTTGCCGCAATAAGCTTCCGAGGAACAGTTGTCGCAAACCTGCATGTTCACCGCAACAGATGGACCAGAATCATAAACGTTCATACAGCCATACATAACAAAGTAATTACATACAAGCGTCTCTAAAGGTATCTACTCCAGCTCCCACTTTCCATCCTCAGTCACGATCTCCACCGACCGCTTCTCATCCAAGGAAATGCGTCCTGCATGCAGGATTGCCGTTGTGGCAATCGTGTTCTTCAAAGTCGGGATCGGCCTGGCATCTAGCTGATCGAGAGTCAACCGCCCCTCATTAACAGCCGTGACGGCATCAATGAACTTCTCGAAACTGATGTATCCGTAGCCAGTCTGACCACCGAAGTTACCCTCCTCGTCGGGTGCGTACTTCATATAGAACCTGCGCAACTGTCAGTCAGCACAACAATCAAGTTGACGCCAAGAGAAGTAGAAACATACGGGTTAATCCAAGACAATCCAGCCTCATCCTCGGCAACATCATAGCCACGCTTAGCCTGGTTGACACGAATTTCGCCCTTCGATCCCATATCTGCACTTGTTAGCATCGACCATTCTCCAAGGCTATAAATCAACCCACCCACGGAGCGACTTACAATGGAAGTACTGGTTAGAGTGTACACCGGCCCTCTGTGGCGCCGTCCAACTAGATGTGTAAACACCCGTAGCCATTCTTGACCCATCCTTCTTCTTCCATTCCACAAGCAGAGTAATCGTGTCCTCCGTCTCATGGGCACAGCCCAGCTCGACAGCAGTTCCCGTCGCCGCACTAGCCGTTACCTTCACGGGGACATAGTCCGGCACCATGCTCTCATTAACGTCCACATGGTGGCTGTTCAAATAGTAAGAGATATCCGAGTCCTTACCAGCCCAGGCCTTGAATGTTTCCAGCTGGCTCTTGGGCTGACTCATGTAGCTGTAGAAGTAGTTAAAGTCGCCGAGCTTGGCAGCCTTAGCACGGGCATCACTGTAGGCGGGATCGAAGCGCTTGTGGTGCTCAATGTACACAACGACATTGTGCTTGCGAGACTCAGCGAGCAGGTCGAGGTGGTCGGAGAGGAGCTTGGTCGCAGGCTTGGTGATGAGAACGTGGATCTTGCGCTGAATGGCGTACAAAGCGATGGGGTAATGGGTGGGGTCGGGAGTGAAAATGGTGATTGCAGAGCCGGCGGGGAGGGCGTCAATGGCGGCTTTGTAGGCTTCTGGGTCAGAGGTGTTGTCGGCGGGGAAGGAGGTGAAGGAGACATCAAGGCCGTTGTAGACTTCGGAGATATTCTTCTGCAAGTGTTCGCCTGGGTTTCTCTCAGTCAGCTTGGCCAATTGCTGAGTACGAAAGGGAACAAGGGTGAGACTTACGGATTCCGGGAAATTTGGATCCAGATACGCCCACCATGCTCAGATCGCCGACTTTGCCGCGACGACGCAAGTCGAAGAGCGTCAGGCCCACGACACCCACTTTCTTGTCGGAGGTCGAGGCTGTACCGCCGACGTAGCCGGTCGTGTACTCGCCTGTTCCTACCTATGTTGTTGGTTAGTCGGGATACGCGTGAATTTGGAGTAGTAACCTACCATCAACACAGCTGGGGGAGCCATTGTGATTGCTGTGGTGTGAATTTGTCTATAGAAAAGATATTAGAGGGAAAGAATATGACAAGAAAAGAGGAAACAATTTTGTCGCCCAGTGGGTTGGCGGCCATATAAGAGATCCTGCTGGACCGGGTTTTGCGGGGTCATTAACCGATGGCTGGTTGAGCTATAAGTGGTATGGAATTGCATCAATGGTGGAAGATATACAGGACGTGATACAGTCAATCTGATGTCTCTTGTGTCTAACAGTACCTTACGAGTTGCTCTCAATCGATGCTACTATACTGCCCGCTCAAAAACCCCTCTTCACTTAGTTCACATGCAGCCTTGCTGCTACTTTTCTCACTGTATGACAGCTGCTGTCGGCGTTTGATACGGACAAAAGAGGCAAGTTTACTACCGGTTCATTCTGATTGGTGGATAAATTTGTCCGAAACGGTGGAGACGTGGGATGATACCGAAACGGTACGGCAGGGCACGCGGGGTAAACATGAGGGGTGGTCTACTATATAAGTCCATTGAATGATGCACAACGCCAACTACAGCTTCGCAAGACACATATCCCATTGTTCAAGAAGTATATAGCAGCATATACTACGCATACCAGTCAAGTACATCTGCCACAGCCTCTGACCTCAAGTCTACAACTAACAGCGAACTACAGAATGCCTTTTACCCCGCTCCGCCCCGGAGTCTACGCTCCAACCATGACCTTCTTCGACCCCTCAACCGAAGAGCTCGACGTCCCTACCATCCGCAAGCATGCCGTTCGTCTCGCCAAAGCCGGCCTCGTTGGTCTCGTCTGCATGGGATCCAACGGTGAAGCTGTACACCTCACCCGGGCCGAGCGCAAGACCGTGATCAACGAAACCCGGTCCGCACTCGTTGAAGCCGGCTTCTCAAACGTCCCCGTCATCGCAGGTGCCAGCGAACAATCCATCCGCGGTACCATCGATCTCTGCAAGGAATCCTACGAGGCCGGAGCTGAATACGCCCTGATCGTTCCCCCCAGCTACTACCGCTACGCCACCGGCAACGACCAAACCCTCTACGAATTCTTCACCAGCGTCGCCGACGGCTCTCCCATCCCTCTCATCCTCTACAACTACCCCGGCGCCGTGGCCGGAATTGACATGGACTCCGACCTCATCATCCGCATCTCCCAGCACCCCAACATCGTAGGCACAAAGTTCACCTGCGCCAACACAGGCAAGTTGACCCGTGTTGCTTCCGCTCTGCACGCCATTACTCCCTCTTCGCCTTTGGCTCCGGCTCAGCGCAAGTTCCCCAGCACCAAGACAGAGGCGGTCCACCCGTACGTTGCATTCGGAGGTATTGCGGATTTCTCCCTGCAGACGCTGGCGTCCGGAGGTTCCGCGATCCTGGCGGGTGGCGCGAACGTCATCCCCAAGCTGTGTGTGCAGATCTTCAACCTCTGGAGCGCGGGCCGCTTCACGGAGGCTATGGAGGCCCAGGAGCTGTTGAGTAAGGCCGACTGGGTTCTCACTAAGGCGGCTATCCCCGGTACGAAGAGTGCCATTCAGAGCTACTACGGATATGGTGGATTCCCGCGTCGGCCGTTGGCTCGCTTGAGTGCCGAGCAGGCGGAGGCGGTGGCAGAGAAGATCAAGGATGCCATGGAGGTTGAGAAGTCGCTGCCGGATATTGCTTAGTCCATTGTATCATATAGATTAACTATGACTTGTGAATAGAAGGATTTCAGAGACGCGTGTGTGTATGTGCAGTAAAATTGAAACCAGTGGGGTGTCGGCGTTCGGAGCGAAGTCCGACCTGGGTGGGTTATTGATAGACCGAAGTATGGAACCCCCACGCTACATTCCGGATAAAGACATGCTGGTTGGTGGACAAACAACACCGATTCGAGGACGGATATTGTCTTTGAGAGCCCGGAGCACATCGGCGTGGGTAAACCCATACTTTTACTCTACCAAGAACTCGCTCCAAGCATGACGCAGCAGCCGATCGTCATCTGAAGACATAATCAGATTGAAACAGCCACATTAAAAACGGCACCCACACAATCCAAAGAGAAACCCGTGATAAGTAGGGTGGGGGAGGGGAGGTAAGTATAAGGTGGAAGATTGGATTGAATGGTCTGGCTTAGTAGAGTATTTTTAGTTACTGAGTTGGTGGTGGTTGTTCTTAATAGGGGCTGTGAGACGTTTACTTTATTGATTGGCTTCATGTGCACAAGTAGGTAAGTTATTAACTGCATTATTCTCTCAGTGTAGCGCCATCACCAGGTTCCGAACTAGCTCTTATGATAAATATAATTGATCAACAAAGGGGGTTTTACTCCATAAAATCTTCGCCACGCTGCAATCAAGAGAACAAAGTAGAGAGCAAAATCAAGCCCCATGCAACAATTTGCCCAAGCGCCTAATCGTGGTCTCATGAATATCCACCACCCATTCGAAATCCGAGAATTGTCCAGTCAGTATGGTATAGCTTCATCTCCGCGGATTGTTCTTCACTATTCCGTCTGCGCCTTTGTTGAACTTTACCCGACAATCCGGACAGTACCATTTGGCCGTGCGACTTGGTACCTCGGACAGCCCGACACAGTCAAGATGAAACCATTCTCGGTCACACTACTCATGTTAGCGGCGCCATCAAAGTAGAATTATAGGACACATACCTCTTGATTTTCACAGCAGATCATCGTCCCGAAACTCACGTCTCCACAAAGACAATACCGTGGTTCGTTCGGGTCGATCTCTTCGAGGACTCCATCCTCGTCGATTCGAATGTCCTCGCGTGCCAGGGTACCATCTTTTAGGCCAACCTCACGCGTCCCAATCCGCTTCTTGCCGGGCTTCGCTTTGCGGCGACCGTAGCTTACCGCTGCACCACCATCTTGACCGGAAGACACAGGACCGGGTGCGGGGCGTTTACGCCTGCGATTGGGAGCACTCACACTGGCGGCTCGAGCAGTTTCTGGCACAGGAGTCTTCCGAGCAGGTGTGGCGCTTTTCTGACGGAGTTCGCGTTTGGTAGAAGGTGCAACGGCGCTGGCATTGGTGGTTGGTTCTAATGATAAAGCAGCCGAGCGGCGAGATGGGGGTCGGGTAACCGGGGGGGTTGGCGTAGCCGCTTTTGCGGCTGTGATCGTGGGTTGTGCGATGGCGCGCTTGGGTCCAATTGGAGACGGCGGTAAGGAAGGCTTCTGCGACTCGGAGGTTTCTACAGCTGTAGGAGCTGGTGCTGCAGCTGTAGGTGCTTCTTCAGGGATGGCGATGTTTGGATCAACGGGTGTGGGGGATCCTTTGCTAGTTCGGCGGCGTTTAGTCGCGCTTCGCAGCGAAGGACGGGTTTCAATTTCCACAGGCGCAGTAGGAGCAGCGGAGACAGCGGGGGCAGTAGGAACAGGGGAAGTAGCGGAGGTAGCAGTAGGAGGAACAGAGGGTGTAGAAGCAGAGGGACCGTCGGGTGCGGAGGGTTCGACATTGGAGGTACCATCAGATGTGGAGGGAGCAGCAGAAGCAGATGGGGCAGAAGATGCGGAGGGGATGGGAGCTGAAGGAATGGGGGGAACCTCTGGGGGTGTCACCTCTTCGAGTTTCCTCTTTTTCCCTGCACGAGTGGGCTTGCTCACAGCTGGAACTTCTGGAACACTGGCTGTGGGTAAATTACTGGGAGTCACTGCTGGCTGCACTCCATCCTTGGCTGTTTGTTCTTGTGCTGCTGCAGCGGCGGCAGCCGCAGCCGCAGCCGCCTGCTCTCGGGCCTGGTTCTCCCGTTTGAGCTTCTTGGCCTCGTTCAGCTTCATGCCACGGTTGCTAAGCTTGGTCTCGAACGTGCCCTCGGTATCGCCGGTAGCCTCGCTGCGTTTGGTCAGCTTGCCCGGAACGTACGTGTTCATTATGTCGTCACAGTCCAAGAATTCAGCACCAGTGGCCTCGGCCTGCGCTTTCGCTGCCCGGTAAGCCTCCCAGCCGCGGCCGCGCAAGGCCAGCTCGCGATGAATCATAACCTCGCTGGGCTGCCAAACGGCATTCTTCTTCATCTTCTTCCGCAGTTTCGTCATTTCCCACTCAGTCAAACGCAACCATGGCATATCCTCACTTCCAGGTTTGGCGTCGTCAGGAGGTGGCTTGAGCATCGCTAACGCATTGCTGGTCGATATGGCTGGAGCAGAAGGGCCTTGAGCACCGGTCGAAGCTAATCCAGAGGTCCGCGATCGCCGACGGCCCTTCTCCTTTTTGGCGGGCGCTGCTGCCGGCTCCGGGGGTGACTCTGAGGGTGTCACTTTGCTATCCGGCTCCACATCCGAATGCTCTGTGCTGGCAATAGGCGAATCGGGGTGCAAGTCGGCCAGATGCTCGGCGGAGATGAGAGATCGGCGTGTGCGCGACTTCTGCACAGTTGTCGCGCGAGCAGTTTCGTGGCCATCCAAGCGCAACGTGATGCGCGTCGTGGTGGGCGGGCCAGAAACTTCCTCGGTTTTCTTGGTCGAGCGGCTTCTTTTGGTTGATGTGACGGGCGGCGCGGGAGGAGGAGTGGGTTCGCGCGACGCGGGCTTAGGAAGAGCTTCGAGCTTTTGCTTGATGCTGTCTAGCCGATTGAAGTGGCGATCAATGACATCGTAGAGACGGCAAGCCTCCGCATATGCCGATTCACGGGCGTTGATGGCGCGATCAAGTTGTTCGGAGATATCTTTGCGCAGAGCACGCGCGTCGGGACGCACGTCCGAGGGGAGGGTGGGCAGCTGGCCATAGGCCTTGGTGAGATCATGAACGCCTTGGGTAGCTTCCAAATAGCGTTCATCGAGGCCGCGGATGAGAGTTAGGGAGCGAATGAGGTCAGCGGGGAGGTATTCGGTGTAGTCGATGTAGTCCGTGACGGTGGCCTGGGCGTCGGGATCAAAGGGGCCGTCGAGAATTAGCCCACCGGCGTCGTGGTAGTCCGCCATGCCATCCAACAGGTAGACGGAAAGGGTATACGAATGCGAAGGGGCGATAGATGGAGCAATTGAGTGAGCGACAGAGGGAGCGTTGAAGGAATAGGCGGACAAATGGTCAGAGATGGGCGGGCACCATGGGGGTGGGTGCGGCCAGGAAGAGGGACTGGTCCGCACTTTTACATGGAGGGAGCTTGACAGACCAGAGCCTGCAAGCTAAGGTGAAGATAAGTTAAAGACAAAAGAGGAGATGGGAGGGAAAGTTCAACGGAAGGACGAGGTGAGGAGGTAAGGGAGAATGAGAAACAATAGAAGTATGCCAATGACGGGGACTGAAGTGGAGGAGCAGCGCTGAGATCAGTTGGAGATGTTGGCCAGTTCCGGGCCTTCGATTCCCTCCGGCTGGAACCACCGCGGGTCGCGCCCGGGAATATAGTTGATCCGAGGTTGACAGGTCAGGCACAGGCACAAGCAAAGTATGCTGCCGTCTCATGTCCGGAAAATCCACCCTTTTGCCAGCATGATATCTGGAGTACATTGATGGCATTTGCCGGCGATGCTAAAATTCATACGCTAGTGCAGTGACAATAGATAATTATGCCTGCTTTGATTCACAAGCTTCGACAGCGCACTATGCTCTCCCCCTTGCTGCGCGGTTTATGACTTGGTTCCATGTCTACATCAAACACTAACTATAAGTTAAAGCATCAAGAATCGATTTTTGACCTAGATTACTCCAGTAATCAGGATCCATGGGGTACCCAGCAGTGTTTTATGATAACTTAATAGTCAGTATTGGCAGAATCTACTTAGTTGTTGACAAAATCCAACGCCAATATCAAACCGCATACGGGTATCAGGCACAAAGATGCAATGGATCTAGAAAATTCTGAATACTAGTCACCCAGTTTGATCCTACGAACACGGAGGCTTGAAGCAAGAATTTGGAGATGCGCTTCGAGAGTGTGGTATAACATTAGCTGCTAAGAGCGCGAGCCACATACCACTTGAGGTACACAATTCCAACATCAACGCGAGAAACGCAGTCTTTGGGGTTACCATACGAATTTAAGGTTTGAACGACTTTCTGGCTCATCTGGTTCATTGAATATGAGGACAACGGATGGAGAAAGCTTCAACCTCACTGGGGGTTCTCAAGACGGTTGGACAGAACGTGGCAACACCAATGAACAGATACTCACTGAGCGCATGCTCTGTTCTGCTGGCATGAGATTGGCTTGATAGGAAGTCTTCAATTTGGAAGAAAGTTTTTGGCCACATCTAAAATGTGCAGCCGCACATGTCTATGTCAGTGGTGATGCCGGGCGGTTGGACCCGCGCAGGAATAGAGCACCCCTAACAGTGGATTTGTGATCAACTTCAATCCGCCTGCCGTTCGGAGGCAACACAAGGCCCCACATACCAAAAGACCCTGGATCCCCGACTCGGTACCGACTATCTATGCTTTACGGCACAGCCTATTCTAAACTTATTCGTAAGAATCAAAAGGCAGAAAACACTGTAGCCTATAGACCCATTTACATGAAGGATTTAGGGTTCAGAATGAGTGTGGGCGTGGACCTACAGGCTGGATACGCAAAGTCGATCAACTTTAATGACCAGTCAAACACGCAGCTGGTTGGAGAGAATCAATGCTTTACGGTCGCCGTTTCTTCAGTTACTAAGTATCCGGCCAAAATGTGCCGGCTTATGTATGCCCAGCCTTAAAAAATTGTTCTTACTCTGTGGATACCTCTAGAATGTTGATTGGGCAAGAAGTAAGACATCCGGAGTGGCTACCTGAATTTTGGAAGATGGGACTAGGGTCCACCAATTGTGAGTGAACGGCTTGACTATCTATCGTAGATTTCGACAATAGTTTGTGGATTTAAGCTACCCTAGCTCAATAGCTCAATCCTTCGACCGCCGCATGTTCTTGGGATACTAAAAGCTGCCGACACCAAGCTTGCAACAGTGCATTGATTAGAGTACATACCGAAGCTGGAACAGCAGAGTTGCGATTAGCCCCGTGGCGCCATGTACTGGCCAACTTCGCAAAACGAAAAATGGTTCTGCGGCATATTGTTCGTGCAAGGATTGCTTGTTATCGTGCTGAATATGTGAGTTCGAATATTGTTAACATATCATCCGCAGCTACTAAACCACAATTCAGATACAACCTCGTTCAGTGGCAATCATGGGTCAATCCCAATGCCACTCAGGTCGCCATATCATATCAGGTCCCCATTAACATAGCACTCATCATGTTCGCCGTCGCTTATGAATTATTCCTCGGTCTTGACATGGTACATCATAAGAATATCATCTTGCTTCTAGCCCTTTGCATTAGCAATGGATGTGTACTCGCCTATTCTGTGATGCAGTACATGTCTATCCATATTACCACTTTGACCTTTGGAGAAGACCGCGACTATTACAATCAACCATTGGTGAACTTATCCAGAGACCTGTGGAAAGAAATCCAGCCTGCTGAGCTTCTGGTTCCCATCACTGTCAGTATAGCGACACTCCTCATGTGGCCGATCGCGTATTGGGTTCACAGAGAATTTTCTTGGGCTATATACCAGTATGTTCAGGGGAGCCTTCAGAGTCGAAAACAATATCGAGGATATGAGGTACTTGGAGTCCTGCAGAGCTTCATTTATTGGGATAGTGTGATTAACTCTGACAGGCATATCTTGTTTTAATTAAGTTCGACTTCTTTTTCTTGGTGGGCTTCATCATTCAGTATGACCTCATTGATGTCCACTTTGAGGAGCCTGAGTACTCCTTGACCTTAGCACTCATTCCAGCCGCACTGCTGGTAATGACTATGGGCACATATTTTCTCCGACGTGAATACAGAATCCCCACTGTTATTATTGCAGTCAGTCATGGAACATCAGAATTACAACGTCCAAATGGCTAACTTGAACAGGTCTGTCGCCTAGGAATTGCGGCCTATCTATTGAGTCGAATCATTGTTCTATGTGGAAATACTTTGCGCGCCAATACACCAGGGAAGGATATGATGCTGCTATTTGCCATTGTAGCATTTGTGCTCTCCTGCCTCATCATTGTATGCACGATATATTGCATACTGAACTTTGAACATGGTCTCAAGTCGGTGTTTGCCCGGAAGGATCAAGTTGCTCGGAGGTCTTTCGTGTTCCAGGAGCTTCCGAATCACACGGACAGTACTCGACAGTCTAGACTCTCCCTTGACTAACCTGTATATTATATAATCTGGATTTGAGTAATTATCATAATTGAAATCTTCCTTCTTGTGTATGAGTGCGAACATTGGGTATGTATGCTCAGGAAACAACGTCATGTGCTGCAATTTTTGGCTGTTGATTGGTAGCAGTTGTGATGACAACCTTCACTCAATCAATGAAGTAATAGAGCATTCCCTCAGCCAAGCATAATTTCCTGGAAACATTCAATAGCAGCAGTGATATAGAGCGATTTGTCATGACTATGAATGGCCCTTAGAAAGCTCATGACAACTGAGTGAAGTGCGCTTCTGTAGGCCAACGCTCTGAAACAATGCCATGTCCAATTGGAATGTTTGCCATTCACTGGATTGTATTTCGCACCTACTGACACTTCTAGGATGACCTTGTTGACTGTTGTTTCTCCGAACAATTGAACCGCCGGGAGGTTGATCTCGGTAAATGACCTTCATTTAGTGTCGCATTAAGACGCCAACTATGTCAACACAATAACTTCTACATAGAACACTGGAAATATTTATTCACGTGAGTTCCTTATTCAATCATCTAATTTGCGTGGTGAAGTTGAATGAAAGATGAATCCTTCATGCCTGCCAGTTTAGGCTGCATGGCTCATGGCGGAGACTACCGTTTGCACGCGTTTGCCAGCGCAAGGCTGTTTATTAAATACCTCTCCTCTTTTCCTCGCTCGCTCCCCATTTCCCCCCATCAACACCTTCCTAGCAAACAAAATCAAATTTCAATTTCGTCACTCGCATTAACGCAATGGGTCCCGAAGAACGTCTCCAGCTGCTTTTTGCGCAGGATGAAGACCTCCTGAAATTGGACACCGGCCGCCGTCCTGCAAACGAATTTCGGCCCGATGATAACATCGAAAGCCCTCAGGCAGAGCTTACTGAGAACCCGGAAAACAGGCCGTCAGCAACAACTACCCAGCAGACAAGTCAACCCACTCAGATTGTGTCTCTTGAACTCCCTTCTCCACCCGAGCTCCCTACCCCAGCCCCGGCAGATGAACACGTATTCCCCACCAACGGCCAATTTAGCCCCCTTTTGGCTATTGCCAAATACCCCTACAGACATATGAAAGGATCCTTGAGCCAAGAGGTTTCCAGCCGCTTCTTTGACGCGGGTAAATTCTGGAATCGCTCGTGGGATATGTAAGTCGCTTAATCCATTGCTTTGTACAACTAGATCTGATAAGTGCCAGTTATTTTGTCCACGCACCAGCGTCTCTCGGATCTAGATTCGTGCTTCTTACTCCTACCAATAAAGTTAATACCTTTTTGGAAGAGATAAATCGTGCTCTGAAGTGTGAGTTGTCGCTGCCAACAGACATGTCCGCTGGGCTGGTCTTGTCTTTCAAAGATGGGTATCCTCAGCCTGTCTACCTCGGCCGCAGCACCACGCGTGAGACTAAGGAACAGCTCGAGCTACATATTCCTACTCCATCATCGGAGCACAACCGTCCTTCTGGAGATATGGATGAGGAATACGCTGCTTTCGAGACCATGATGGAAGCCGCTATCGAGGCCACTCGGAACAAAAAGAAATCTTCCAAGCAGAAACAGTTGATGCGTACGATGAAAGAGCTTGATATGAAGCAGATGGTTCAACGGATGCAGTGCTACTTTGGTTTGCGTTCCATGGATGACATTGAAGGGACAGCAGATATGGCTGACTGGGACACCCCGGGTACAGTGCCCACGGTGCAGCCGCTAGATGCTACCAAGGCAGTACCGTATCCATTCTGGAGAGAGCCCGTATTTATCAGCATTGACGTAGAGTCGAATGAGCGCTGCCATAGCCAGGTGACTGAGGTTGGAGTGTCAGTGTTGGACATGCAGAGTCTGGTGGGAATACCGCCGGGCGTGAACGGCGACCAGTGGCGGAGCCGTATCCAGTCCCGGCATCTGCGAGTGAGAGAATACGGCCATATCGTGAATCATGAGTTCGTGTCGGGCTGTCCTGGCATGTTTCAGTTTGGAGAGAGCGAGTGGGTGCTGCAACGAGACCTGGTGGACGTAGTGCGATCAAGTCTGCGCTTGGAGGATGCACTGAATCGTCGACTCGTACTGGTTGGCCATAACCTTTCAGCCGATGTCAAGTATCTCAAGCAAGTTGGGGTTGACGTGGGAGGGTTTCGTGACCAGATCGACACAGCGCAGATGTTTCGTAAGCTGCGGAAGGAAGAGTCGGTACGGTCGCTGGGAGCCGTGCTGGCGAAACTGGACATAAGGGGCTGGTACTTGCACAATGCCGGGAATGATGCGCGGTACACTATGGAGGCTCTCGTCGCCAGCTTTATGGGAGCGGGTGAGGAAAATTCGACGTAGGTGCTCGTATATGCATTGTTAGCCTATCATCCTCTCCAGGAGCTTCTTTCCAATTTGAAGTTTACCGGACATCATCCTTCAGAATATCTCTATAATACCTTCTCTGGTGTTCAATCTCATCAGGAGGAATCATCGACTGCCTGGCTACGAAAGTTGTAGAATAATGCATCTAAATAATCCAAAAATGCGTCTGCTAGCTTCAGTGAGTTCACACATGACGTGGTGAATAATATTAGTTCGTACTTTTAAACCATCCTTAGCAATCTATAGAGATAATCAGGGACATTATAGTACTTGAGGAAAATCTATGGACGTAGCAAACCTACTTGAGAACCCCGAAGAACAAGAGTAAGACAAGCTTCTGTGCTAAACGTTACATGCTGTTCCTGACCCTTCCTGCAGAAACCAACCCTAATCTAATCCCTGCCGCCGATCTCCCCTCCACAAGCCCCGTATTTACCCCACCCACATCATCATCACCATCATCTTTCCTCAAGCCCCTCCTCACAGCAAACAACAATTCTCCTACAATTTCCACTTTCACCACAGACCACCTCACAACCATAACCACAACCAAAATGACCTCCCTAACAACCCACCTCCTCAACTTCAACCCCTCCGCCCTCCACACCTCAACCACCCACCCCTTCCTCCACTCCGCCGGCACCTCCACCCTCCCCAAAGCCACCCTCTCAGCGTGGCTCTCCCAAGACCGTCTCTACGCGCAAGCCTACGTCCGCTTCATCGGCCTCCTCCTCTCCAAAATCCGTCTCTCCTATACCACCACTACCAAAACCCCCGCCCCCCTCGAATCCCGCATCCTCTCCCTCCTCACCTCCGCCCTTCTCAACATCCAACGCGAACTCACCTTCTTCGAGACCGTCGCCGCCGAATACAACCTCGACTTGCAGGTACCCCCACCGGGCGCGACCACCTTCGGCCCTAGCGAAGCGACGCACGCATACACGGATTTGTTCCTTTCCTCGGGCTCGAGCGGCGTGACGTTGTTGGAGGGGTTGGTGGTGTTGTGGGCTACCGAGATCTGTTATTATAAGGCGTGGGGGTATGCGAGGGGGGTTATGGAGAAGGAGAATAAGGGTGGAGAGGGAAGAAATGATGCGGATGGCGGTGCTTTGAGAGTGCAGTTTATTCCTAATTGGACGAGTGAGGAGTTTGGGCGCTTTGTGGATGAGATTGCGGGGTTGGTGGATGAGGTTGCTGCGGGTGTTGCGGGTAGTGAGAGGGAGGAGTTGTTGGGGAGGTGTGAGCGGTGGTGGAGGCAGGTTGTTTGGTTGGAGGGGATGTTTTGGCCGGAGGTTTGAGAATTGATATGGGTTCTATGGAGGGTATAAGTTGTATGGTCGAAAAAAATGTTGTGTCGGGGATCCGATTGTGATGGATGTATATACTGGATTGGACTGGTTACTGTTAAAATTTGCTATATGGGGTCACGGTGCTGTTACTGAAGGCGGTTTGATCTCGATATGAGTCTCAGTGGGGTTTAATATCCTCAAAATACTGTGCACTCATCGAGTTTGATGATTCCAGTACCATCGGTCCCCCCACTTTGAGAGGCAACATTAATGAAGGGAGATGTGGGCCGCATCGAGGAAATTCGATGGGTGTCGATAACTTTTCCGTTTATAGCCCATCTTTCTGAAGCCGCTAGCATGGCATACTAATGATATCTCCAATATCATAAATTCCTCAATTATTGTAAGTAAGAAGTAACCCCGGTCATTGCGGACGACCATATTGTGGCTCCAAATTAGCCTCCATATCGGGAAAACAGTGGATCAAGGCCCTGTAACTAAATCTACTTTAATAATACTGCTTCGTTTGCTCTATCATGATAAGATTAAGATCTACAAAGCCAAAACAAAGTATCCCAATATCGCATGTGCATACTGCATAGAACTCCTCGAAAAACATAATATTGTACTGTACGGAGCAATCAAATGCAGTGGGTCCGACTCACCGCCCACCACCAACTGAACTGCCGACAGTAATCCCACTCACCGCATCCAAGATCACCTCCCAAGCAATGCGATAACAGCATCAACTCCCTCCACCATCAACTTAATTCCTCTCAATCTACCACCCTAAAAAAGAATCTCATACCAAAACATGCCCCCCAAAGCGCCCAAGGGCGAATACATCGAAACAGTACGTCCCCTCCGCTCCCCATCCCCCTTCCCCAAACAACAACAAACAAACAAACAAACCCCCAATACTAACCCACCCTCCCACCACCACAGGACACAGGCAACAAAATCTCCCGCCGGTCCTTAATCCACGGAACCCAACACATCATCCTCGGCGGCAAGACAGTAATCCAAGCGGACGCCGTCATCCGGGGGGACCTCTACCGCTCCTCATCCTCATCCACATCCACATCCACATCCTCCGACCCCGGCGGCGGCGGCAGTGCACCAAACAGCCCCTCCGTGGCCATTACAATCGGCCGATACAGCTATATCTCGCGACAAGCGATCCTGCGACCGCCGTCGCGACTACACCGGGGTGTGTATTCGTTCTACCCGCTCAAGATCGGGGATCATGTGTTTGTGGGCGAGCGGGCGGTAGTGGAGGCGGCGACGGTGGGGAATCATGTGCATATTGGGAAGGATGCGGTGGTGGGGAGTATGGCTATCTTGAAGGATTTCGTGTATGTGTTGGATGGGGCGGTGGTGCCGGGGGGAATGGTGGTGCCGAGTTGGTGTGTTGTTGGGGGTGCGCCGGCCAGGATTGTGGGTGAGGTTGGGGAGGGGTATGGGGTTGAGGGGGCTGAGGGGGGGTTGGCGAGGGAGAGGTATAGGTTGGTTGGGAGGTGATGGATTATTAAATACTTATTGTTGATGATGATGGTTATGATTGGTTTGTATTCGTGTTTTCTGTTTATGTGTGTGTGGATGTTTAGTACTATACCCCCTTGGTCTAGTTTATTTTACTTTATGAACTCTGTGCGCGCGATATATATCAAAAAACAACAATCTAGGTACATAGTTCATATTGTCTGGCTCGTTGGTCGTTGGCCAGACTTACAGTGAGATCCGTCTAAGCCGACTCTCTTTGCTGGTGTATTCTACGCCTGCTTCGGTGCGCGCCATGTCGTTGATCCACTGCTTGTGCGGTTTGACTTCTTCTTTCTTGGAGAGCTTGGATGACAGGTACAGCCAGTTTAGGGCGTTTCCGACTGTGCTGACCTCGTCGCAGACGTTCTCAAGCGCAAATTTCTTGGTCCGCTCGTATAGATCGTCGTCAGTGCACAATTCGAATAGGTGTTGTGCAACTGCATCTGTATCGCCGACTTCTACTAGGAAACCGTTCTTCTTATCTGCTACTTGTAATGGGATTCCGCCAGCCTTGGTTGCGATCACTGGGGTACCCTTGTGGATTGCCTCGGATACCTTGACTTCGAACCCTTCACGTGTGGACAGCTGCAGAGCGACCTTGGCCTTTGAAAGGAGTGCGTTAAGCACCTGATCCGAGGGTCCAAGTCGGACAACGCAGATCTTGTCAGATAGGTCTGGAAGGTCTTTCTCAATGTGAGCTAGCACGGAATCGTAGATAACAGTGCCATCGGGGTCGTCAACGGAGCCGTGCCCACAAATAAGCAGTTTGGGCGGCGTTCTGTCGGGTAGGGATGAGGTGAATCGTCTATGGAACTTCGCATATGAATCTACAACGTCGAAGATACCCTTGGAAGGGTCGAACCGGGCAATTTGAACAATGTACTCATCTGCTAAGTGGTTAGCGCCACCGTGATCGCAAAGCCTACGCATGTGTGGCTTTAGAATCGTCCTCACCATGTGGATAATTTAAAGTCATCATCCCTGAGTTCCTGCAAACAGAGTTGAAGACACGGCCGTAATAGGCGACATCCTCTTCACGCATGTTCTTATTCAGACCATCCAACCTAACTCGGAATGTCAGCTAGATATATCATGCAGGTATCTTTTGAGACTGACCAATCAGTTGAAGCAGGCATATAGCCCACCATCTCGTCTGGAACATCTTTCGGCACGAAGATGCTCACTGGGTGACTGATAAACAGATCTGCCTGCTGCACCTGTTTCCAGATCCACGACCAGGTGTCTGCTTGTGGGGAGCCAGGTTGATCGATCAGATCACTGCGGATTTGGATATGGCTTCGGAAAATGACCGGTCGGTTAGGTGCTAGCTTCTTCGCAATGGGGATCAATGCGGGCATTTGCGGATCGTCGATAATGATAACGTCGGCTCCTCCCTCCTCAGGAGGCCGCAGAGGACCGCCGGGTGAGAGCCAGTATCGTTTCGCGTTCTCGTTGATCCAATCAATAACCTTTTCCCAGTCCTCATTGCTCAGGCGCTCATCTGGAGCAGCAACGCCTTGCAGAATATTATGGTTGTTCTTGGTTATGCGAAAAACTCCAGGCCGCGGTTTGGGGACATACCTAATTTGAGGATCTATTAGATACTCGATATCAAACGCTATATGGATGAAAGACTTACCACTTGATGTCAGTTCCCAACGAGTAGGAGAATCTTGCAAGGGCGTGTCTCATGAGGGCTACTCCTCCGCCCTGAGGAGTGGCACTAAAGAAGGCAATCTTTGTGCCTCTGTTCTTGAGATCGTCGGCATAGTAATTAACTGCATCCCAGGTCCTCTGTGTGACTGTCTTCTGGAAGTCCTCCAGGTTTGTAAGGCGCACATGGAAGGCAGTGTCAACTTCAACTAATCCCAAGAAACCGACTTGCAACAACGGAATGTTTTCAGGGCCAAACAACCTTGAGTGCTGTAAGCACATGCACACCGCTTTAAGCTGGGCAAGACATACCTGACACACTTGCGTCCCATGGACTCGGCCTGTTCATCGATGCTCTTAAGCTCCCAGCCAGTAGACTTCCGGACAGGATGATCAACGTAGTGATCAACTCCGATATTACTCTCCTCGGGCAAGACCAAGGGAATCACATCCAGCTCCGACCAAAGACGTGAGCATAGAGTGGAGCATTTCCGAGCCACTGACGTTGGCATTGCCAACCCGATGAACTTCTCCAGGCGTTCGTCACTATACTCCCGCAACTGGTTCAGCACATAGTCGGTGATTTCAGCACAGACGGTCCGGCCACCCTGTGGAACAATGTCCTTCTGATGGAAATCGAGCAGATAGGTAGTATCGCGAATCGCAAGGGCTACAGTGACTCCATCGTCATCAAACAGTACTGAGAGACCAGCATAGATAGTCTAATGGAATGCCATCGGTTAGAGATGTCATGGGGTATTCAGGCAAAAGAGAACTTTACCTTTGACGGAGGGGCTTCCCAGGAGTTCCTGTCAAACTGATGCGAGAGCTGCAGCTGATGAAAGGATGAACGGCGCTGGAACGGCTGGATACCGTCAGTGGTCATGTTGGCAATGATGATTGAGAACTATAGATAGAGTACAGTGTCTAGGGGATTCAATAAGGTAATTAGACTGCTACTCAGGATTTGAAAAAAGGAACTGTTTCCTATAAATCTCAACGAAGGGACTTCAGGTTCGGTCGCCGGTCCGGGGTTTGTAAGACCATGGGTGGTGGTGGGATGACTTCACCAGTCCATGGCGTGTGCTACCACTTCGCCATGACGTATTGCAAACAGCATACGATTTACTCCGGCGGCAGTGAGAATCCGCCTTTTTGACCAGGATCATTGAAGAATAATTGGCCATGAAGAACTGCAGGTGGATCAGGAGATGTTTGGTAGCTTGTAGGTTCCTTTCTCCCAAATCATATCAAGGTACCACGAGGCATAACCATCATCACTCGATATGGATGGTGTTGATCGTCGGGAGCGGGGACTTCCGATAGGTACTACACAAGATAGCGAGCGCGCTAAGTCTGCAGAACGTACACTTATGCTTGGTAGTGACTTGTGAGATCAAGGCTAGGTTCATGGCACAGGCCACGCTAAGAATAAAAAAAAAAAGTCCGTCGCCAAGGAGTCGGTCTACTTGCTTCTATTGACAATTGATAATTTGATTGTTAGGCGCATGTACAATACATCGCAAAGGTCCTCTTGATCGGGAATAACTGGGTCCGAGTGGAGTACTGTAATAGTTAGTCTGCTACAGGCAGGTGCTTGTGTGTGCCTGAGGATACGCTGCAAATACTGAAACCACCGATTGCTTGGCGCGGGGCGCTTAGTCATGGGCAGCCCCTTTTACGGAGCGCTCGAGCAGACGAGCGAGAGAGCGAGAGAGAGAGAGAGAGAGGCGCTCCTCGTGTGGATCGTGAACCCTGAAATTCTTATTGCTGCTGTTCGATCAATCGTTGTGCAATTTGACTTTCGACCCTGTTGGACCGACACTCTCTTCTCTCTGCTTCAACGTGCGTCGTTATTGCCCCTTCTTTACATAAGGTAAGTTCCATATGTCTTGTTTACCTTGCGTCTGCGAACGCATGGTCCATTATGGAGACGTCGCCCTGTTGACGCGGACCGCTAGCACGGGGTAGTTGACCTTACGTTTAGTTTTCGTTGTCCTCTTTCTCCCACGGCCCCCTACTCGACCAATCGGTCCACCATCTAGAATCCCGATTCCTCACTGCAATTGCATTGCATCGGAGACGCTCTCTGGCGCTCGTTGAATCTCCGCAGGCTCAGTCGCTCCTTTATCCTATCAACAGTCGGCGGTCTTCAGGAGACGCCTCCTTTAGTCACAATGGGTGGTCAAGTGTCCAAGATTATGGGGAAGATTTTCGGTACGAAGGAGATGCGAATTTTGATGCTGGGTTTGGATGCTGCTGGAAAGACCAGTAAGTTTGCTCCTCGACTCTGCGTCGACTCATTGACCATGGCTATGTGGAAACTAACACAGTGCGTTAGCAATCCTCTACAAATTGAAGCTCACCAATCAGGACGTCACCACTATCCCTACCGTCGGTTTTAACGTTGAAAGCGTCACCTACAAGAATGTCAAGTTCAATGTTTGGGATGTTGGTGGACAGGACAAGATCAGACCCCTCTGGAGACACTACTACTCTGGTAGGTTTTCACTTGTCGCGTGTTTTCAGCGGATCGTGGGGCACTTGGCTGACATTGGGTGAACTCTCCAGGTACACAAGGATTGATTTTCGTCGTGGACTCCAGCGACACTGCTCGTTTGGAAGAAGCTCGCTCCGAACTTCACAAGATTATCAACGATCGCGAAATGAAGGATGCTCTTCTGCTGGTCTTTGCCAACAAGCAGGATGTTCAAGGCCGTAAGTTTCCGCATTGTTATGGTGGGAAACGACGTCGCGACTGACCAGAATTCTTCTTGCAGACATGAGCCCCGAGGAAGTTACTCAAGCGCTACAGCTCACCAAGTTGAAGGATAAGCTGTGGTACGTTGCTCCAAGTGTCGCAACGGAGGGAACTGGTATCTTTGAGGGCCTGGTAAGTTACACGCCCCCTCATCGGCAATGCTCAGCCATCTAACGCTCAACTTTCGTAGGCATGGCTCTCCAACAACGTCAAGACGCAACCTCAGAAATAAAACAGCCGCCGGCCAACACCTGAGTCGCAAAATTTGGAGGCCATCTGCACGGCCTCTCGTGTACAACAGTTTCCTTTGTACCAACTGAACCATCAGAACACCTCTCGTTTCACGTTCGATTTGATGACAGAAGACGCAGCATTTGGATCCTGTGTTTGCAATATTTTCCTTTCACGCGCACGCCGTTCCGCTTTTCCTTTCTCCTTTATTTTCATGATATCCCCACTGTTTCGATGCGGGTCATTTCGAATACCGTCTCTTAATACTATTTTCCTATTTTCCTTTCTCTGTTGTCTGCTTTTCTTCGCCGCCCCCCTTCTCGTGTGTAGAAACATTCAAAATAGAAGGAACTTGGACCAGCACATACCTGCATACATATACTCCCTTTAATGTTTCCTTTCTTTTTTTCTCTCCTCGCATTTATCTACTTATTTATATCCCAGTTGTATTTTCCCCGGCTCGGTTGTTGATAATATTCTTTAGATACTACCAAACCCCAAAAAATCCACACTTGATGAATAAACGATAAAACAAAAAACATGAACCCAAACTAAAGCAAACAAACAAACAAAGATCATATGTTCCACCAACGTCATTGACTCATGACCTCCCTCCCAGCCCAGCCCACCCCGTAACCATAACTCCTAAGTGAGGCCTCGGAAAATCCTCCTCCAGACACATGGAACGGAAAGCTCGTCCCACCAGTCACACTCCTCCCGGCCATCGGATATATTATATATAAGCAAAACCCAATCTTGCATAAATCAATTAGATAGAAGTAGGGATGTTGATGTATTGATAAATAAGCTCCGAGCACATGCACAACTCTCGACTACCCGCCCCATCCATGGGTAATAAATGTGGCTGGCTCCCAAGTTTGTCAGATAGCATCAATCTGACACCAGTGGCTCTGGGAAGGAAAAGTTAACTTGATGGGTTGTTAGTTAAATATACGACACAACACCACGTAGTTGTTTTGCTGGATAGATGGTTACTTATATGTTTTTTGCACCAAACACACATACACACACTACAAGACTACCACAGAACTTTCTTGATTAAGAATACTTACCTGAACATGCCCGACTACGCAACAGGTGATACGGTTCGCTATAAGCCTATTGGCGGTGAGTTACTACTACACACACTCATCCCTGTCCGCTCATTTGGGTAGATTTGAGAGAAAGAAAAGGAACTGACGAGGGTGTTTCCAATACGCAGGACCTGATTCCAAAACCGCCGAAGCAATCGGCATCATCCGGGACGTCCGCACGCACTCTGGTACCATGACGGGGCGGAAGATCGAAGCGTCGGACGAGATGCCGCGGTATGAGGTGCGTGTATATTGATACGGATGGATGTGGTAGGGTAAGCAGTAATGCTGATTATGGGTCTGGGATGGTATTAGATCGAGAATGCTCATACACATAAACGGGCGGCGATCAAGGAGAGTAGTATTCTTGGACCGGCGGAGTGAAAGGCACCATGATGTTATCTATTGATGCGCGGGGGCAGTCCTTGGTTAGGGGTGGTAATCTGTATTGAATAATGTTTTAAGGTAAACGGCAAGATGAGAGATAGTTAATGGTTGACAACAAAGTGATCTGCCTTCATTAGCTTCTTGGGTGGGACGTTGTGCTTGCAGTGACTCCAAGGTACTCATCTCGTCGAAATACATAATGGCACATGTGTCCAGGTGTATGGTATTTGAGAAAGTGAAAGAAACAATCGTGATTTTTTCTAAAACTATACATCCGATCCATATGTTAAATAACTGGTATCCTAAACGCTAAAGTCGTCACATTCATTCATACTCCCTTTCGTTGTTGAATCGACAGGAGTGTTATGTCGCGGCCATTCACGACGGGTATATTTACAGCTGGCCGGGCCAGATATCGTTGGCGATCTCGCGCACAAGCTTCAGCTTGGCGATCATGCCATCGCGGTCAATGGCGTTACCCTCACGGTGACTGGCAAAGCCACACTGGGGGCTGACACCGACCTGGTTGAGGGCTTCCTCGAGAGAGATGTTGTTGCCCTCAGCGATGAACTTAGCAGCGTCATAGACACGCTTCTTCATCTCCTCCTTGTCCTCGAGGGCAGCGAATTTGCTGGTCACAACACCCAGGATGACGTTCTTGTGGGTAGGGAGCTCCTTCAGGGGCTCGAAGCCACCAGCACGAGGGGTGTCATACTCGAGGTAGTAGGTGTCAACGTTGAGCTCCTTGAAGAGCTTGGTGGCAATGCGGTCGTAGCCACCCTCGGAGAAGTGACGGCTGCCAACGAAGTTACCACGGCAAAGGTGCACACCGATGTGCATATCGGCAGGGCGCTTAGAGATGCTGTCGTTGTACAGCTTGATGTACTGCTCGAAGGTCTCATCGGCGGAGCGAACGTTCAGAGGGTCCTCCTTCCAGCCAGCAAGCATCTTCTCGGAACAGAAGTCTGCAGTTTGAGTCAGCATGTTATCCACATGGATAGATATACAGACAGGATAAACTCACAAGCAAGGTTGGGGTCGTCGAACTGGACGTTCCTGCAGCCAACATCATACAGCTCCTGCAGCTCAGCCTGAACCGCCTTGGCGATGTCACCGAAGTACTCCTCGTCGGAGCTGTACACGTCCTTGGGGTAAGCCTTGCCCTCCTTGTACCGCAAGTGGTACCAGTTAGGAGCAGCAAGGGTGATCTTGAGGTTCTTGACCTCCTCGGGAGGAACAACGCTGGCCAGGTACTTGAACTCCTTGGTGTAAGTGCTGCCGACGTGCTTGATCTTGCCGGTGCAGATAACGGTCTCACCAGGCTTGTGACCAGCCTCGAGGAACGCGGCAACATCGGGGGCGTAGGGGCGGAAGACATCAGCATCGACATCACTAACCTCCTCGAATCCCTCAAGTCCAGGGAAGAAGGAACCCCAGAACACTGTCGCGGTCAACATGTCAGCAATGAGTCCCTCTGATTATGCGCGATGTATGAGGGCCTAGCTTACTGTGACGGCGGTACTCTCCGTCGGAGATGGCGGCATAACCCAACTTCTTCTGGGTCTCCGCGACCTCCTTCACATCCTTGTTCTCGATAGCATCGAGCTGAGCCTCAGAAACCTCGCCATTCTCGAAAGCGGTCTTGGTCTTGAGGAGCTCCTCCGTCCGGAGGAGAGAGCCGAGGTGCTCAGCACGGAAAGGAGGGTTACGGTGGAGTTGAGGGGCCATGATGATTGAAAGGGCTTGAGTGTTCTGTCCAGAAATCAGTTAGAGAATCCAGTGGCAACCAACTTATCATGGGTTCACGGAAGAAACATACCTGGTCTGGTGACAGAATGGAAGAAAGAAGACAACAGCCGACCCGAGTCAAGAAGAAGGAAGAAATGGGGGGCAAGAGACCCCCTCATTTCTCAGCAAGCGAGTTCTCCGAGTCTTGTCCATGTTCTTCTCCGGTCTGTCCTTGCCCCACCGCTCTGGAAAGTGACCCCAAATTCTGGGACCGATTTCGCAGGCCCAGACGACAGACAGAAAGATAAATCAAGCAAATTCTTGCGATCTTGCGCGCCCTTTGAGTACTATACTACTTGATACGATTACTTCCACTCGAAAACAAAACATGCCAAGTAGTTTCATAAAGTTCAATGCCTTCTGGCATCTGGGACAGCTTGCGACGAAGGATTGAGCCAGAACTACTACAGTAAATCCAGAAAGGCGGAAAGAAGATCGGCAAGGAAGCCTCCGGTGGGGCCAATGTATAAGTACTGACTCAGCAATCTATTTCATCTGGGGTTCTTTCTGTTCTGGGCTGGCTGCAGATGCCTAAAGCAAGTATATTAATTCTACTAGTAGTTACTGCGACAATTTCCTATCTCCCCGTTATTATTATATTATTGCACTGGGAATAGTACACTGTTGTCGGGTGGCTGCGATATTGTCGAGTGTCAGAACAAGCCAGTGCAGGAGTTGCGGGGAGAGACTAATGCAGCTCCACATTCATACAGCGAAGGCGTTCCTATAAAGTTGGCGTGATTTCCAAAGCTATACAGAGTATGTCGAGTCGAGTCTGGCTTGAATTCAGTGATATATGTAAAATCGGCGCGTGTAAAGTGCGACCACAGAGCACAGTCGTCTTGCTATCTGTGCAAACGCCAATTTAGTCTGTCAAAGCATTCTGTCACGATTTTCCTGCTTATGGAGCCATCTTCGCCATTTGACTATCACGTGAAATGAATGTGGGGTCCCCCGGCAATTGACAGCCAGCATTCTTCCCGAAACTCACCACACCATAACTCCTTGCTAGAAAGTACATCGCTGTGGGCTGGCATTTATGTCCAATTCATTGGCTTTCTATACTTGATTTGAAGCCCATAGTCTCCGCAATGTGAGGCATTCGGACAAAAACTTTATCTCAGATTACTGAAACAATGTCTTTGTCACAATCGCCCTTGGAAAGCCTTCCGAATGAGCTGCTGGATCAGATCATCTCCGAACTCTCGGCTTCCCCTCCTTCTCAGTCCAGGGTGCACAAGCCTCCTTGTATGCGTATTACTACATCTAGAACTAGGGATTTGAAGAATCTTGCACGCACCTCCTCCCGACTCCGGGAGCTGGTGCGCCCCCACCTCTTCGCTCACGCATGCTTCGATATCAAAGATGTAGCGGACTTTGTCTCCTTTATAACGAGCCTAGATCTTGATCGATATGTAATATCGATTGTGGCCAAGGGGATGGACTCTCCCGATCATCGAGAGGATCCCTATTGGTGGCGTCCAGTACTCGATAGTCTCGATCCGCTACGGATCACCGTGATTGCACCTCCTCCATTCCTGGCCGCCATGCTTGACACACGGATCATGGACGGACATAGCTGGGCATTCGAGGTTCCCTTCCAGGTTCTACAATTGGAACAGAACTCGCGGGTCTGCAAGCCTCCTCTGCCATCAGAGACAAAGCAATCAGTCAGTCTGCTTGAGACTCGGGTATGGTCTTCCTTTGCCTTCAATGAGTCGTCCTCGCTCAGGGCGTACAATCACTATGAGTATTTCATGTTCCAGGTTCCTTCCCTATTCAATAAGTGGGGAACTGTGGCATCCACACAACTGTTCTCTGAGAGGCTGGACCTTTCCCGCTCATTGAAATCCTTCACGTCGTTCAACTATACGGCAGTGTTTCCGTTCTATAATCATGTCAAATTAGTCTTGGATGCCATTGAATTGATGACCAACCTGCGTTCATTGAGCATCCAACTTGCCCCGTCTCCGAATGATAAGATTACGGAGATGGAACAGAGAGGCTCCATGGACCCCAGTGACCCATGGATGGAGATTGCTACCGGATATTCACTTATTGCGCACACTGTCAGGAAAATGGGGGCGTTAGATAGTCTTGTGGAATTCCGTACGCCGGATTACGAGTTTGATGCTCTGCGTTCAGAACTATCTACTATCCTAGGAGATGTGTTGGACAGCAGCGGATGGGTACATGATGGAAGAGGAACTTGGACAAAAGTACCTTCGAACGGCGAAGATGATCGGTTGGGTTCACCTACGACGCCGGTAGGTAACGCTCTCTGATATGCTACAGTAATGAGCGCACACTTGAAAATATTCTGGATGAATTGCGCTTTAAGAAATTGTTAAGTACATTTGTGATGCGCCTGTACATAATTACATTCTATACTTATTTTCATAACTTCCACTTGTCTGAGTCGCTTTATAGCTTGCATATTAGCATATAGAACAATATAGAGTGAGTAGTAACTTACACTGCAATTTCATTGTGCATACTGAGACACATAATATACGTCATTGTCACGTGATAATACATCAACTACTAATGATTGAGTGGGCATGCGGGCATACTTGATGGTTATTCGAATATTTCAATTACTAGGTATAAATTTTTTCAATTGAGTAGCCAATATAGTGCAAGCCCCTATCAGATATGAGACGAGTTTTGGGAGGTTTACATGGTGCATTCTATTTAAGAGCGACGAGCTGGGCTTTACAATATCCGGCACAACATGCGTTCGCGAAACCCAGATCTACTCCACACTTTGTATACATCTCACCTTACGACTACAGTTAAACCACTTAACATACTGGGTCCGTATCTATGATAATAACAACAAATAGAGTGAAATATAGCTCGCCCTTCTAATCTACTACATATCCTCAGCATAATCTGACGGAAGGCAGCCCTATAAACGGACGCGTTGCAGAGCTACGCGTTTTTCCCACTGTCCAGTCCGGTGAAGAACATCATGTCCATCAACGCTTATATTGGCGATGCTGAGCCAGCGCCACCAATTTTAGCTCACACTATGCTGCAGTCTGGTCCATCAGCAGAGAACAAACACAAACAAGATCAACAACACTCCGCGGAACAAAGCTGGAACATTTCACATGACGTGCAAAAGGGACTTCAGAATAGTCCTGACAGCGTTTTCAGAAGTGGCATAGTCATTGGCTTCTCCAGGCTCAGAGACGCACACAAGGAGACGAGTGATGAGGACGAGTACATCGGAAGAGTACGTCTGCCTTCTCCATAGACAACCTGCTATATGCCCTCATGCATATATCTGTTAAGCCATATCCACCACCCCCAATGATCATTTATACTACTACACCTCCTTACCACAAACCCCAACTCCCCATATAAGAACATACATGAACAACTAACAACCCCTCAGCTCCCACGCCACCTCCTCACAACCCACCTACTACACCAACACCAACACGACACCCACCAACCAAAAACCTACATAATCCACCCGGCCAACTTCAGCGCCTTCACCCCCCAACGCCTCCTCACCTCCCTCCTCAACAAAAATCAACAACAACAACCTCCTCTATCCCGAACCCAAGCAATAACCCTCCTGGACTCCGTCCAACTCTTCCCCGTCTACGACTTCAACGCAGCCGCACAAGCAATCCACGAAATCGCAGCTACCATATCTTCAGCATCAAGAGAAACAACACCACATCAACATATCATAATAATCACAGGCCTGGACACCCTAACCGAGGGCGTAATCCGAGCTTCGAACCCCCTGCGCGGATCAGCTATGCTCACGTCTGTATTACGGACACTAACGCAGTTGACTCGAACGCATGGGTCGAATGTCTCGGTGATGTTGGTGAATACTAGTGGATTGGGGAAGGTGGTGTCGTCTCAGAGTGGGGGAGTGGGGGAGGAGGTAGATGCTAACGCTACAAGGGGAATGTATGAAATAGATGATGGCGAGGAGGGGATTCAGTCTGCGTTCCGTGCGCATAGTGGGGAGATGTTTCCGAGTTTGTTGATGAGGACGCTGGATCAGGGGATTGATTCGCATCTGTTGGTGTCGAGTATTGGGAGGGTTCCGGTTGTGGAGGTTATTAAGGATAGGGTGGGTGGGAATGTTGGGAGGTGGTGTGTTTGGGAGGGGGAGGTTTGATTGAACACCAATGGCTGGGGATATAATTCGTTGTGTGAGGTTTGGTAGCTGATAGTGTGGGCTGCAGGATGTGCATGCCCTGATGTATGATATTGCGACCTATGTAGATAGTTGAATTTCCTGCTTACTCCATTTGAATATTTCATTCCACTTGAAATCTCAAACAAACATGAACCCTTGACCCCGTCTATCATGCGAGTACTATGCACCAGTTCCAACTTTTCCCCCTTAGCAGACCAAAATTGCCTTTCCGCGCTGACTAACTCCAGTTGTGAATCATGCTTTTTTCTCGAATGAATAAATGATAATGATGATGATTATGAATGGGGGTATCAACCAAATCAAGTCAATTGTCAAATGCGACAAATAATGAGAGATAGGAAGCGTCTGTATGTAATGTATGAGAGGGGAATGCTGGGAAGAAAGACAAGCCACACTGGTTTAATGCCTGTTATAGTAATATTACATCACTGGCCACCAATTTGCGCATTGTCTGATTCGGCCCACATTCTAAGAACGGCCCTCTCGACGACATTCTTCGCTTCCTTTTCGCATTTGCTAAGATCCAAAGTGAGGGTGTTTTCCTCGAATACAGCATCTTGCTGTTGGACTTTGAGCCATTGTTTATGCCTCTCACAACGCTTCTTAGTACAGACACCACGTGAGAGCTTTTCGAAGTCGTCTTCGTTGTCGTCATCCATGGCGGTGTCGCCATCGGCGTCCGTAGCAGCTTCGGGATAGCTTGATGCCAGGGCTTCGGGCGAGCCATCCTCGAGTGCTTTCGCGCCAATTTCGGATAACCGCCATTCGTCGAATTCTTCGTCCGACCATGCGAGTCTGCTGTCGAAACCGCAGATGTCTTTCCAACCACCCTTTGGGTCGGTTTGTTTTAGATGCTCCAGAATGCTCTTGGATCGCTGTCGCACCAGTGTCATGAATGTGTTTCGTGCGCGGAGCATCTCCTTGCGATGGAGAAGGTCGTCCCGTTGCTTGCGGATCTTTTGTAGTTTGGATGCTTCGTCGGGACTGTATGTGAGCCAGTCTACGTCGAAGTCCAGACCGATCTTCTTTCCCTCCTTGGTCTCGGCTTCGGGATCGGTGGTGGTAGTGGCGGCATTTTTGCTTTCCTCTTCGACGGGGAGCGATATGATGCTTTCGCCTAGTTTGCGGAATTCTTTGGCGGAGCTGACGCCCATTACGACGGCTTTGAGATCGCCTGTTGTAAGGACTCCACCTCTGCTTCCAAGATCGTCCGGATCTCGTCTGTCTGGCGTAGCGGTTCCATCACGACTATTGCTTCCGCTCGAATTAATGCCATTGGTGGCTGCTCGGCCTACTGCATTTGTCTTTGCTTTCAGTCCCGTACCCAGGAGAAGCTTAGTTCGCTGAAGCATGAACTCCCGGCCATGTTCGTCTGAACAGTATTTGCTGGGGATTTTCTGGTTAACTCGGGCGGGCTTGCGGCATTCCTTTAGCCGGCACATAGGTTTCCATGTAGTCCATCCTTTGCCTTGTTCCTTGCAATTCGGGCCTGCGGAGTGTTAGTGCACGGGCATACATTATGTGTGTAATGCCGGAGGAATGTCTTACAGATGTACTTGTCAATGAGGTCTGCATCTCTCGGGTCGATGTTGACGCATTTCCCGTGAAACCAATCCTCACATCCACCATCGCATCCAATCATCCACGTATGATTGTCAGGTTTGCGGCAGATGCAAAATATTTCATCGTTATCATCAGAGTCATCTTCTTCCTCTTCTTCTATATCATCATGCTCAACATTCTTGCTGCCTTTCCTTTTACTGTCTGGGGCAGGTGAGTTGGTGTGCGAGGTGGAATTCCGCTTTTTGGTTGCGGGCTTGCCAGCACGAGTCGAAGACGGAGTGTTGGAACGACCGCCATCAACAATATCGCTGTCCAATTCATTTGCTTTCCTCTTTTTGGTCGTTGACTTTCGCCCAGTCCCTTTCTTGGTCGCAGCAGTAGCAGACTTCCGGGCCGGGCCAGGTTTCGTAGATGTGGCTGGCGAGGAGCGGTCAGAAGACGACGCTCTTGAGGATCCCCTATTCTTGAGACACGCGATGTTCTTTGGAGTGAGATGGTCCGCAGGCAGGCCATCAAGTGAAGAAACCGGTGGCTTGGATTCCGACTCTTCGTTAAGGGGGACTTTATCCAAATTCGTGTTGAGGGGTTCGGTCTTGACAAGAGGGATTGGTGTATCTTGCTTGCTCGTGGATCTAACTACTCCTGCGGCATCAAGTCCTTCATAGAGGTCAGACCACGCTCGCAGATCAGTAGATTTGTCTCCATGTATGGCAGATGCCACCAGTATCCTAAAGCGTCGATGTATCTCATCTGCCCTTTCAAAGCCAAAGTACCCGCTCTGTCGCCAACCAGTTATCCCGATCACCTTATCATCGCCGATAACAACGTTCGACGGTACCAAGTTGTTGTGAACCAAACAGATATGTTCGTCCTCCTTCCTTTCACGAAAGAGTATATTCTTTTCTGGTTCCAGGGCATCAGGTGACGCTTGTGAGTTGAGTCCACTGCAAACGTACGAAGGGCGGTCGGGGGGTGCATCTATCCCGCCAAGGCGCTGCGATATACGACGGCACTGCTGCTTGAACATGTCAATCTGCTCAGCTGTGAGGTATCTCCAGGCTACCTCGAGAGTAACGCCAGGGATTCTAGATTCCACAGTGACATTTTTCCCATCTATTGTCCCGCAAAAGTATATGACCGGCACAGCGATGGACATCTCCTTGAGCGTATCCTCAGCCTTCCTTGCGGCACTCAGTTCATTGGCGTTGGCACACGAGTACTTTTCAGCCGCGGCGCCAGTTGAAGGTTCACGATCAACGCGAATGACAACGCTGCCAGCAGCGAAGACCTCCCGGTTCCCCGAGACATTCAGAGAATTCTCTGCCGTACAGAGCTCTTTCACAATGCCTTCCCAATATGAAGTGGCCTCTGGATCCGGTTCGCACCACTGGTTGTATCGAGGTTTGAAGTCAGATTCGCGAGGCGCGTAGCGGCCATAATGCACACTCCGGGCGAGGAATAGGTCGTCGTTGGGGAGGAGCTCGGGGTTTGTTTCGTATGGGTTTGTCGACCCTTGATTGGTAACGCGACCATCCACCTGATTTTGATCACCAGGCGCTTGCGTAGCTCCGGCCATCACTCCAACTCTTCCAGCGACCTTCTAAGGTCCAAGCGCACCCCTTCTGTGAGTAGCCAGCGTGTGCGTGCTCGGGCACAAAATCCTAGGGATATGTTGGCCTTCAAGATCCCGCAAACTGGCGATTCTGCAGACTGGCAACCTAGACGAAGCGTATGGTTCCGGTCGTATACAATTTCATAGTATTAGTTTTGGAATGTGAGTCGGTAGCTTCCACAAGCAGAAAATGGAAAGGCGACCGACGGGGAAGTCTTCGTTGCTGATTATCGATCGGTCGTTGAAGTCGCAATTGCGGCGGAGGTCGGAGAAAGATGCGAAACGGAGTGGGATGCGATCCCAAGTGAGTGTCTCTGTAAGCAGCGATGTTGCGTCAGAATCCGAGATCTGGGATCAAAAGGATTCTAATGGATGATGGGTCTTTCCCCCAGTAGCTGGCTAGTGCAATAACTTGAAAGCTTTCAGTAATTATTCAAGCTGGGGGAAGCGCGCTCGGCGACGCGGAGATGGAATTCGGAGAGGATTTGGCAGCTTCTGCGTCGGATTTACGGCCAAGGCGGTGAGTCTTAACTCCGTCGAGTCTCCAAAACACTGCCTATCGCACGACAGATTACTACTATCCTTTAGGACATAGAAGAGAACTCTCGGAAGCATGATGCTGTGATGACCTTCTACTCTCCCTCTGCGGCACTATCGAAAGCCGTAAGGCCAGAGTTCATGGCCTGTGCTTCAAACCATTGCAGTGATGGGCGGCAGATACTTGCTTGCTATTCTTCTCATTCTTGAAAGTCAAGGGTCATGACAGAGCCAAAAGAGGAAGCAGCAAAGCACGGCGACAGTGTCCTTATTCCATACTCAATGGTAGGAAAGAGCGGTGCTGGTAGTGAAGGAGAATGTCAATTATGAAGCCTGTTCGCATGACGGTATCTGTATCGCATGACTATAATGACCGCCTATGTTCCGCTGATATGGAATTACTTTAATTCACTCCTACTACTACTGTTACTACAATGGTGGTTAATCGACACCTAGAGACGCTATTCCAGCATCCCATTGATCAATTCAATGTACAGCTAGGCAAGAGGGCTTTCATTCAAGGCCACCATCTTTAATTATGGACCCTCAATCCCCGATCATTCCTTTTCTACAATATACTTGCAGAGCATCAAAATCACCGCCATCACACACCTACCACTATCAATAATCACATATCACTTTTCATCATGGGGCCTTGTAAATGGCAAGACGAAAAGCTATTTCTACAGTGTGCTTGCCCCGAGGGGTCCTGCGCTTCGCGTCTTGCGCACATGAACAATCTAACACTGTGTGAAAAATGCTCGCATCCGATGAGCCTCCACCAAGATTACTGTTCGTTTTTTACACTTGTGATGTTCTTCAGCTAATCTTGCATCATAGCCACTTCCTCGGAATTCCCACCGTCACAGATAACTGCACCTATAGGTATATACTTTGCTTCAACCCGACTTGGCAAGATCATTGCTAATCATCATAGATGTCGGATCACATATCGTTCACCGGGATGGGTTGGTCAAGGAGCTCATCGCTCGAATGAAGGCATTTCATATTGTTCGAGTGAGGGGGACTCCTGCTTCGGGTAAGACAACCATCGTGAATCTACTAGCCAACAAGCTACTTGACTGTGATCCAAAGACTCCTCTTTACGTCATGTCTGGTTGGGATGTAGATATGGTAACGAGAGCAAAGGGCTGGGCCGGTTATCTCGAGCAGCGAACTGGTGTCCATGGCCGCTCCTGGCTGACACAACGAGGGTATCTCCTTATCGATGAGGCCCAACAATCATATTGGGACGTCGCGCTATGGGCGGATTTGTTCAAAGCTGTTGACCCATCATCTCAACCTTACATTGTACTGTTCATGTCTTACGGCTCTCCAGATAGGGGCTTTTCGGGTTTCGAGCGAAAACATATGGCGACGCCAATGATATTCGGTGAGGGACAAGAAATATCACTTAGGCCCGATATCAATATCCAATCACCCTGGAAACCTGTGGGTTTATTAATGGAGGGGAATGAAGCCATTCAAGTTATTGAAAGATGTGCGCCACAGGTGATACCAAACTGCGGGCCTCTTCTGACGCCAGATTTAAAGCAAGGCTTGTTCAAAAGCAGCAGTGGACATGTAGGGCTCATCAAATCTCTGGTCCTAGCTCTGAGGTCCCTACCAGTTAGCTTTATCCTGAAGTCGATGTTTCGCTGGTTTGTTTACTAAGCTTAATGCTGTCTACAACAGGTACTCTCCAAAGAAGTGCGAAACCGCAGACCACTAGAATGGCAAACAATCAGCACAGCCTTTTTCAGTGACCCAATGGGGTTTTTCCGATGTCTTCGAAATCTCCCATTCTCTAGAGGTCTGCCGCCAGCACGGATTCTTCAAATACCTAATGTCGCCGCTGTGCTTAAGGAAGCCATTGCTTCTGATGGGATCCTTACATCCAGCTTCGCGGGTACAACTAAGGAGGCACAAGAAGGTCTCGAACATATCTTAGCCAACGGATGGCTTCATGCAGAGATTTGCGATGGAGGAGAGCGATACATATTCGCAAGTCAAATTCACCGTTGGTACGCGGGGTGCCTATAGAGTACTTTGGGCTGCTTTCTAACCCAAGAGTCTAGGTATTGCCAGTGTCTTTTCTCCGAGAAACGCCCTGATAACCAACTTGATCACGACACTCCTTTACAGCTAGCGCTCGACGTTATCAGAGGATTCCAGCCATGTCAGCTAGCACATGCGCCTCGTTCGTTAGCAGGTAGTTCCCGGCCACTGGAAGACCAGTATCAGAAGGAGTTTTATCGCTGTCTCTTCCCTTTACTGGATGGGCATGTTGTCGTGTCTCCCGAGTTCGTGGTTCATTCGGATACTAAAGGTGGAACAATTGACTTCCTTATTACCCAGAAGAAGTGGGGGTTGGAACTCCTCAGAGAACGTGACCGGCTTCAAGAGCACATGGACAGGTTCAAGCCAAATGGACAATATTCCACCCTAATCGAAGAAGGCCGGATGGACGACTATATAGTTCTCGACTTTACCACTACAATGCCACGAAAACCCCATCCAGGTAGTTCCACCCTCGCCTCCTTATGACATAACTGACACATTTACTAGAGTTCCAGAACCGTTTATACCACATTGTATTATCGGGAAAATATCGGGACGTCTCAGTGATCAATGGATGGGATCTTCGAGTAGTTGACGCCTTTGTCTTGATGGATAATAGAAATTAGACGTTATGAATAGTAGCCAAATAGCTCTTGAGGAGTCATTAACATATTTTAGCAAACCATAGCTTCTATCTTCATGAGCCATGCACCGCTAGGTCAAGCAGCATTTACGCGCTTTCCCAATTGATACGCTTTACCTTATCCAGTATTTCACCGTCACCGTAGATTACGGAGTACAGTACGCAACTATCTAACCCTGCTCTTTCAATGGCCAACTCCTCATGTGTGACCTCTAATTACTCATCTTTCTCATGCTATAAAAAAGGAAGCAGGAGTTAGGGCCAGAGGGGTACAGAGACTCCTGCATAGCTACTAAAGGGAGACGCTACCGCCACACCAACCTGGCTCATGCCATACCCTACCACCTACCTCACAAAGTAAGACACCTTCCTTATGATGAAAGGCTCGCTTTGATAGCTGGCCAGTGTAATACCTCCATCCCGATCGGGATATTCGACTGCCTGAGGTACTAACCACTGCCTCAGGCAGTTTACTTGTGAATTAAGCAGGCGGTGATAACTGAAAACAAGGCTTTACCTTATAAGTGAAAGACCCGACCTTCTCAGGTACAAGGCGGAGGGTATGTGGCATGAGCGAAGGCTGGTTTGGAGAAAGCCTGGCTCTCGTGGCGGTAGCATCTTCCCTACTAATTCGCTTCACATCAGAACGCAGCCGGTGTAGACTGCCACGCAATGAGCCATAAAGTGGTTAGGGTGCGAAGGATACTGCTAGTGATATAATGACGTCGATAGACGAGAAGTCTTTCGTGAATTTCCGGATATCGTGGAGTTCACCGAGATAAGCGGCGCTAGCAGCCGCCCACCAACGAGCCCGGTTGAATGCTTAGGAGTTAGGAGAGTGGAATGGACTTCCGACTTCCAACACCATCATAAACTAGTTCAAGCCAGCTTCTGCACTTCGTGGATCGCGAACAAATCCGCCCACCATCATTATTGCTGCCGTTCCTCCTCTCTAAAACAAGGTTTTAGGTTCTAAAGCCACACGCTATTATTATCTCTGGCCCCGAGACTACTTCCCCATCTCCTGCACCGCAGCCCCCATTATTCTCTCCGCCCCCCCTGCTGCATTGGTGCCTCTTGGTTGGCACTGGAACAAGCAATCTGGCGTTCAGGTCACCAGGCTACTTTGAGATTTTGAATCAATGATTCAAGGTTTCAGCTCCAAAGATGCTCATGATTAGGTGATTCGACTCAGTGGAGCAGCGCAGGCTTACTTCAGTCCCGGGATCCTGACAGTACTTTGCTCCCAGCATTTCACGCTCCTCATTACCTCATGGCCTAATTATAATTAACTTTTCCTTTGCTCTACATATATCATCGCTATCAGATCCGTATGTGTTTGTGCCTCAACCATGTTCTCTCCGTTGTCCCTATAGGCTTGATGCTTTGAGCGTAGTTTGTCAAGTACTAACTTTCACTTCTAGTTCCATTTTAGATTCTGGCTGCGTTCTGATATCGCCAGCTGGCACGCTTTGTTTCAACTTCGACTTGGATGTCGGAAGTTGGCCGCTCGTTTTTATGTAACCGAAGACACACTGCCGGATACAGCTAGATTCCTTTATCGCACCATTGCCAAGGCAGCCGGCAATAACTTCAGTCGGTATCTGTTCGTGGATGCGCCTCGCTATCGCACTTTCTACAGGATTTTCGTTCTAGGGTCGAAAGCATAGCGAGACGGCTATCTAGCGAAGCACAGTAAAGGCTGCTGGTGTTTGGACAGTCTTCAACAGTTAATCAAGCTACCCCGCCATTGAGCCTATACAGCGAGAAGCCAACATTACTCCTGCAGGCCGAATGAGACACCAGCTATCGCATCGCTTAATGAAGGCTGACTACTAAGACCAAAGCACTTGCGCGGCACGAGATCATCGTGCATCTAACCTTCAATATGCCAGATGAACCAAGCAGTGCTAGTGGGAAGATGTCCACAGAAGAGCCGCCACCGATACAGTGGCAATTTATCGATGCTTCTGACAACAGCAGGAGTACTTTAACCAAAGTAAAGCGTCATGTTATGCAGGAATATATGCGTCAAAAGCGACATGCAAGCGGGCAGTCTGGTGCTGAAATCGAAGAGGGTTCGTCGCAAGGAGAGAAGACACGACAGCAAAAAAGAGCCATTGGTCAGGTTACAAAAACGAGTGAAAACCAAACGGACAACACTCAAGATAGTGGAGCCCTGTATGGAACCGATGCTCTTGCGCAGGAAAATATTCCCAAGCCGACACTCAATGACTTCATAGCGCAACAAGAGTCGAGCAGGGCTGTGAAAAACCATGCCACAGATGGCAGGATCATCTTAAGTTCCAGGCCTGCAGTTCGGCCATTCTTTGAAGGCATATCTTTCAGAAGCAAAACGAATTCGCCCAAGACCTACTGCCTGTCTCAAAGCAGCATCTCCGACACCAGCACTCCAACGCCATCATCGTCTGCGCCAACAACACCAGATGATGTAGCGTTGTCACCAAAGACGATCCTGAGTGCTGCACGCACAGATCCATTCAACACTTTGCCTCTTGAACTAGACACCGAGGGTCAGAGGCTGTTTGACTTCTATGTCAACGAAATGCCTGCTTGCTCATACGGAAACCACTTCCGCTCACCCAAGGCGCATAATTGGTATACAGCAGTATTTGTCCCTGAAGGCATGAAAGGACCTGTGGCATTTCAGAACACAATACTCGTTCATGCGGCCAGCACATGGGTCTGGGTTCGTAATGAGGAGCCGGACGCGGCAGCTCTCTATCATCGTGATCGTGCGATTACCATGCTACGAGAGTTGAGGGACAGGAACCCGGATGACATCTCCGATGAAGCGATTATAGGCTGTATAAGCGCTGCAGGCCTTGAAGACTTCGATCCTCGGCCTGGTCATAAGCAGATTAGCTGGCTTCATATGCGAGCGGCAAGGGAGATGATCCGCCTTCGTGGCGGGCCATCTGCCTTTCATAAGACACGGCTCGGAATGCTAATAAACTGGCAAGATTATATTCTTTCGGGCTATGAGACAGAGGGACCCAGCTTCTTCTTCGAATACAATCCTCCAGCCATGCTACAGAGGCCAGTTCCCCAAGCTGAAGGGCCTGTGCGGAGTCAGCTGCCGCTTTCAGAAAATCCGTTCATCGAGCACACTATCGCCCAACACCCCATACCTACCCCAGTGGATGAGATTGAAAATCAGTGCAGTGAGTTCATCGGCTTCCTCAAGTGCTGTGAGCAGCTCGCTATACACCAACGCACATCCACCAACCTAACCACGGCACCGATGCGTCACACGGCATTCCAGTCAACCTCATTGTTGTATGAGATACTCGTAGCGCCTCCCGGGCTACGCTTTACAGCATCGGGTAACCGCAAGCAGTTTGTTGCACGGCTGGTTGCGTTGATCATGCTCAATGCTGGCTTGTGGGATTACCGGAACTCCGTTTCGCATAGTGAGGCCTTTCTCAGAAATTTGGAGCAGACTGTCCTGAACTGCGAAGTGAACATGAGCGGCTCAGTTGAAGCATTGCTGCAAATATTGCTCGCATGTGAGGATGGTTCGATTGAGATGCCTGAGTCAAGGCGTATTCTTGGAAATACACCCGATTTTACGCAATACTGCCCTACGGCTGAGACGCCTTACGATCGGCCGTGGTTTGCAGGCCGAATGCTCAAAGTGGCCAAACGGCTCAGTTTTGATAGCTGGATGAACCTGAACTATTTTCTCTTCTCTTGTCTAACCTTACATACGGGAATACCTTCTGTCTCGCTTTGGGAAGATGGCTTACGGCAAGAGATTCTTAGTGCGCCTCTCACTAATTATGTTATGCCGGCCCTCCAAGGCCTGTAGTTTTGTCGGGCATTATCGCTCGGGGCATGGAACCTGCATATACAGCACTGCAGTTTTGAGACTTGTATCCATCCCTCTCACCTTTTCCTCCCTCTTTGCTTATGTCTTCTTCGTGTGCACGTGGAAACGAATCTAATTGTAACGTTGAATTTCATGTCTCTTTGGCCATCTTCTTGGTGTTGGTGTTTTATATATCCGCGATGAGACATGACAGTATATGATACCTTTCATTTTAACTGATTTTCTTATTTCGTGATCTGCTTATCCTGTTTTGTGATCGCCCAATTGCCTTCTTGGACTAACTACATTGTATTATTTCTGGTGACATCAAGTCATAAGCTCATCCATATACTATATAATGTGATTCCTTGGAGGTGGCAGAAACATTGTGTTCTGCTCAATTTTTGGAAGTATGACTGCTAGTATCCCGCGTACTAACGATCGCCAGGGAATCCTTATCTCTTGAATTCGACATTGAAATGTGAGGTTTTTCTGCATCATAAGCGGGCCCCGAGGTTTCTGGAGTGAAGAGACGGTCAATTTCCTCGAGCGACTTGCCGGCCGTCTCCGGATACAAGGCCCAAACGAGACCCGCCGCAACCCAGTTGAAGGCCGCGAAACAGTAGAAGTATTTGAACTGAATTTGCGACTGGGCGATCGGCGAACACTGAGCGAAAACCAAATTCAAACTCCAATTGGTGGCGGTGGCTACAGAAGAGCCTCGGGCGCGAATGGCAGTGGGGAAAATCTCGGATTGATAGATCCAAGAGATGAGCCCGAGACTAGTATAAAAGAACGAGAAGACGAAGAATACAGCGATTGCAGCACGGACGGCACTGTGATTCGGTGACGCCACGCTTTCAAAGTTATTGTACACTTGCCCCAGGATAGCCTCCACGCACATGGTGGCGCCCATACCCAGCAACGACGGAATGAGAAGTTTGCGACGGTCGACCCGATCGATGAAGAGTATGAATACGGTGTTCCAAAACTGGGCCAATGCACCCCAGATGCCCTGCAGGATGAGCGAAGTGGATTGCGACAAGCCCAAGGATCGATATAAACTTGGGTTATAGTTCTGGAGCACATTCGTGCCCGAGCATTGTGTAAAAGCCTGCATGCCACAGGCAAGCAGCACACGCTTGCGCCAATTAGGCTGTGTGAACAAAAGCTGTCGCCATGAGTGGTTGGCTGAATGCCGGGCCTCCGCAATACCCGCGGAGATTCGCTCAAATTCCGCGTCGACTGGTAGAGCGTTCGGCTGTCCCCTAGGTAGATGGAGGCGGTTCAAGACCGCCCGACCAGCATCTGGATCGCCCTTTTCTATGAGCCAACGAGGTGATTCAGGGAGAAACCAGACACCACAGCTAAGAATCACGGCGGGGACTGCTTGAAATGCCAAGGGGAAACTCCAGCTGAAATTTCCCGTACGGAGAGAGCAGCCATATCCCACCCATTGCTAAAGGCGATTAGTCAGGGATGGAGGGCGAACTAACTAGTTGACTAGTCGACTAGCTGAACAGGGGTATAGTAGATAGATAAATCACTCACAGCTACAACAACTCCGAGCCCAATCATCCATTGCTGCAGTGAACCTAGGATGCCACGAATACGGGGAGGAGATAGCTCACTCTGAAAGTACGGTCAGAGTCCGCTGCAATATAAAAATCCCCAGAAATGCGTTATAGCGATACATACACAATACACTGGGATAATGGCGGACATCAAGCCAATAGCAAGACCAGCGATTAAACGGCCTGCAATGAGCATGGACACGTTGACAGCGCCAGCCTGCAACGCGGCCCCAAGGCTAGCGAGGAGGCCACCGGTGAAGAGAACAGGCCTTCGCCCCCAAGGGTCAGAGAGGTAGGAGACAAAGACCGAGCCTAGAATGGCACCGCCTGCAGAATGTCAGCCGGAGATGAAATGCGACGAAGTGGTGATCGGCGCGGGAGTCCGAACCATTATAGGATGCAACGATACCCCCTGTCGCTGCATCAGAAGGATTGTGGAAGCGATATTTGAAGGAATCCTGGTCGATAACAGAGGATATCACCCCGGAGTCATAACCAAATAAAAAGGAGCCTAGACTGGCGAACAAACAACAGAGAGTAACGAGAAGATAGGGCATTGTTCACCTCCGCTCCCAGTGCTTGAATTGTGTGTGGGGGAGGATGCGACGGCTCCTTTATCTCTTCCCGATCGCTAGTAGTTGCCCATGAAGATATTTTTAAAGTGTCTATCTAATCTTGGCGGAGATTTTAGTGGCGCAGCGCGATACCGTTGCGTGCTATAGGCATGGCCGTATGCTACTTTGTAGTATTACTATCTGGAGCTGCAACCAAGTCGGGAATAATGCAGAGTGGATGTTGTACAACAACAATGTAACAGGACACACGTGCGCAAGGGCTCTAGAAAGAATAGAAAGGCGAGCAGAAGACTTAAGGTCACATTGAAATGGTCGGTACAGCTAGGGACTAGACACGAGTGGATTCAGGGGGCAACACACAGAAAAACAGGATTCCGTCAGCTTTGATGGATGACTGGACAGCAGCATTTGTCCTCTCAAAGCCAAGGGAAGAACTAACGCCGGTTAGGGTCTTCGGGTTCATCCAATCCATCACCGAAGATGCGATCCCCACCGGGGATGTTGTTTAACTTATTGTTTCTCATCAATGTTGCTGCAGGTTCCATGGATCAGGGTACCCATCGAGAATGATCGAATCAGCGACATCACCGTGGGTTGTGAGGCTTGTTTCTGCAACCGAGGCAGTCATCGGCCGGTTTGGCCAATACGCCGAGCTACTGCTGCTACCACTATTACTACTACTAAGCCGCTTTCCCAGCTAGTCCAATGGAGTTTGTAGGAAAAGGGAAAATTTTTGTATCGGAGGTCCGACGCAGCGGCATCGTCACGGGCACAGGAGCAGGCTCAAGTTGCGCTTCCAGCCGCTTGTCACTGCCGGTTGGCTCTAGATCAGCCCTACTTGTGAGCGATTTTTTGTTAATTCTGCATTTACACTTTTTTCTTTCTCTCTTCCTCTCACACAGATGATTCATACTCGGACTTAATCTGAATAGGAAGTTCTTGGACCGTATCCGAGCATCTTTTCGCGCGAGATCTCTCTCTTGTGCTGATCCCCTTAGTGCATATATATCTTTTTCTTTTTTTCGCACTTGCCCTGGTGCCGTTGTTAAAATCCCCCCAATCGGAAACAGGGTCTGGGCCACACCATCACCTCGCATCGGTGGATCTGCCCGTCTTGTCCGTCTTCGTTCCCCATCCATTCATTCCTTTTCCATCATCGCTCTTCTACGCTCATCACTACTGCGACTTACTCGAGTCCTTTCCTCGCCTTTCCACTTGCTGGCTGGTGGGCTTAAGCTTGTTTAACTTAACTTTGATTTTTCTTTCTTTTTTTTTCTTCTTCTTCTTTTCTCCGATTTGGAGAAACCATTCTGTATATCCCCCCCTACCCTAGTCTTGCAAAATCCTCCGTATCTGCTTTTGAACTGCTTCCCCCCCCATTTCCGCCTTCTTCCCCTCTTCCCCTCGTACTTTGTACACGCGGACAAGAAAAGCCTGAACAGCCATCCCCAGTCTTCCCAATTGTGTTTGGGCCTGGTGTTGCGCATTAGACCTCTTTATTCTTGCCCGTCCTGGTTACTATTTCCGTGCGACTGGAGTGGATCACCGTCTTGACTCACGAAAGTTCTTGCAACGCAATTCTGACTAATTCGGGGCCTACTCCAGTCTCCAGAACATTTCCGTCATCTCCAAGGAACTCCCGTTCCAAAGCCACCAACAGCATAACAAGAGGCAAAAACATTTAACTACTCAAAAATAGCGAAGAATAGCCCACCAAGGACCAGAGCGACCTCAGCCGAACACATCCTCTTCCATCAACTCTTCCTGGACTTTAAGATTGGTCCCCTCCGATCAATCCCTCCAGCTAACTACAATCCTCGCCGTGCCTTCCATGAACCTGTGAGAAGCGTCATTTCTACCCTCGTGGAGATTGCGATAACGGTCGGATCGCCACGCGGGCTATTTCTCCTTGCTGATCGGATTAGTCTCCTGTCGACTATCGTACATCAACCCATCAATCAGTTCCACATCCTCCTCATACCCCCTTGCATGCCATTGCGCCGACCGCCTTGAGATCTCTCCTGCTGTCCCCTCCGCTCCCCTTATGACTTCCGCTCCCAGTCCGGCGCATGCCGAAAATGCGAACGAGGATGATCCCTCAGCCGCTTCCGACTCTTTCTTCTATGCCCACGAAGATCACGATGCCTCCCCCGGCCATGATTTGATGATGAAGGATGATGCGCTGGGCGATGGCAAGCCTGTGAAGGACTCCCTCCCCATGCAGAAGAGGCGTCGTGTGACGCGCGCTTGCGATGAATGTCGTCGCAAGAAGATTAAGTGCGATGGGAAGCAGCCGTGCACTCATTGCACCGTCTACAGTTATGGTGAGTTGTTAATACCTCGATTGTCTGCTTGTTGCTGTCAATTCATGCTCACGGAAATCGCACCATAGAATGCACGTATGATCAACCGTCTAACCGTCGTCGCAATCCCGCTCCTCAATATGTCGAAGCTCTGGAAAATCGTTTACACAAGGCGGAGGCCTTGCTCCGCGTTGTGCTCCCCGATCTGAACCTGGACGACCCCCAATTCGATGTGCATGCCACAGAGCAGATGCTGGCAGCCATCAAGCGAGAAAAACAACAATCCCAGCAACCACCACCAGCGGCATCGCTCGCGACTCCCAGCGAGCGGCGCCGAAGCTCGGTTGTCATGACGGGCACCGACTCAGCAGCGGATGCGAATGGAGGGGACGAGTCGCTCCTCGAGTCGATGGTCGACAATTCTGGCTATTTAGATCTGGACGACCAGGGCCACTGGGACTACCACGGTCACAGCTCGGGCATGAGCTTCATCCGCCGACTGCGCAAGCAGCTTGGTGCTTCCGACATACAGCCGCCGACGATCCGGTCGCGACCGGTCACCCAATCCAAGTTTGACAGCCCTAAATCGATATCGGAATCACCGCAGGATGCGCCATTGCCCCCCACTCATGACCTGCCCCCACGGGAAGTCGCACGACGTCTGTGTCACAGTGCATTTGATGATGGCTGCGCACTGATGCGCTTCGCACACGAACCCTCATTTTTCGCCATGTTCGATCGAGTGTACGATACTTCGCCTGATCAGTTCACCAACGAAGAAAACTCGTTCCTGCCGCTACTCTACATTGTTATTGCGGTCGGCTGTCTGTTCTCTGACGGTGGGGCAAATCCTCTTGACGTTGCTGGATACGAGGGTGCGATTGGTCAAGGGTAAGTCACTGATGTCTTTCTCATGGCCCAACAAGGGCCATCTGAACTGCAATAAGCTAATTCATCCTAGCTTTCAATACTTCAAAGCAGGTCAACAGCTATTGGAGATCACTGATTGCCGCGATTTAACCTCCCTGCAGGCGATTTGCTTCATGGTACTCTTCCTACAGGCCTCTGCCAAGCTGAGTACTTGCTATTCCTACGTGGGTATTGCCCTCCGGTCCGCCTTGCGACTCGGCTTGCATCGCAAAGTGACGGCGCATTTCAGCCCGCTAGAGCAGGAGCTGCGGAAACGTGTCTTCTGGGTCATAAGAAAGATGGACGTCTACGTGAGCACGATGCTGGGTCTTCCTTTGATGTTGAGCGACGACGACATTGATCAGGAATTTCCGGCGTCGGTTGATTCCGAGTTCATTGCTAAGGACGGCATTCTGCCTATGCCCTCCGATCACATACCTCTTATGGCCGGAGCTAATGCGCATACGCGCTTGTCCAGCATTATCCTCAAAGTGGTGAAGTACATCTACCCGGTGAAGAACGCTCAGCATCGGGCTGGATCGGATCAACGCTATGTGGTGAGCCACTCCAAGATTCGGGAGATTGAAAGAGATCTTCAGGCTTGGATGGAGGAGTTGCCAGCGGCACTGCGTCCGGGAACGGAGGTCTCTCCGCAAGTAGAGCGGTATGTCTTCTGGAGTTGATTTGGTAGCGATATTTTCTAATTGTGCTGCAGGATCCGGCAATTGCTGCGTATTAGCTACGCCCACGTTCAAGTGATGCTATACCGACCCTTCCTACACTACGTCTCCAGCGGCTCGCAGGCTCGTGGGGTGGACCGTCGTTCTTACGCTTGTGCAGCGGCGTGTGTCAGTGTTTCTCGCAACATTGTCCACATCACTACTGGCATGCACAAGAGAGGACTCCTAAATGGCTCTTTCTGGTTCACTATGTATACCACGTATTTCGCTATTTTGTCACTCCTGTTCTTCGTCCTTGAGAATCCCGACTCTCCAACGGCGAAAGACGGTGTTCTCAAGGACGCCATGGAGGGTAAGACCACACTTGCTGGCCTGGCAAAGAAGAGCATGGCAGCGGATCGTTGCTCCCAGAGTCTAGTCTGCTTGTTCAAAAACCTCCCTGAGCTGCTCAAGAACCGGCAAAGTGCGACCGCCCGTGCGAACCTCAAGCGTCCGGCGCCTTCCAGCAGCGGTCGAGCGTCGGCCAATAAAAGCTCCACCATGCCCTCGGGGATGCCGCCGCCGCAGCGGGCCAGCACCTTCCCTAATCAGCTGCTACATCGGTCAACCAAGTCGGAGGCCAGTAATACGCCGAAGAGCCTAGATGATAGCGCTGCAACACGCAATGTTGCAACCAACCCCCGTCATAGTCAGCCTCCGACGTGGTTTCCGTCCACCCCGGAGCCTCCGGCTGAAGCGGTGTCAACGCCTTCGGAGACTGCGACCAATAGTGTCTCAACCCGAGCGTCACCTGTTTCGACGTCATTGCCACCCGGAGACTCGGGCGCAAATGCATTTAACGCACAGGCCTTTGGAAACCCCGGTAACTTCCCCGATCTCATGCCTATTATGTTCCCCTCGGACGATCCGTTTGCCTATCCGACGCAACCGATGTCGACTCTGGAAAACGACCATTTCCAAGATGTGACCGGTGCGCCAGTCACCACTCAGTATGCATCGGGAATTGCATCCACAGCCGATCACAACGGTGTCAGCACGCTTGCGGCCTCGTCACCGGCCGTAGATGGATTCGCAAACTTCTCACTCTTTTCCGGTGCACCTGGCGGCCTCAACAACAGCATCACAAGCCGCCTAGCAAACCACCAACCAATGAATGCATCTCAACTACAGTCACCCGGCTCCCACGCCTCAACGCCCATTAATAGCGGCGAGGCTGTCAACAGCCCCGACCTAGTCTCCCTGCCCAACCAGAACTTCCTATGGCAGGGATACAACTTCCAGCCACAGAACTTCACCGCGGAGACGACTGTTCCTCCGACGGCCGCAAACCTTGGACAATTCGGCTTAGGTATGGACGACAATAACGCCCCGGGATTGGGCATGGGGCTGGACCTAGGACTTCCGTTGGACGATATTTTCGGAAATGGAGATGCGTGCCGCCCAGGCGGTTTAGGCGATGATTGGACGCAATGGATGAATGTTGGAGGCTAAATGATAAAAAATGTTATATACCCATGTGTATGCGTTTGGTTTTTGGCTATGAGGCTCATGTGATGAGGGATGGCGTATGGATGGCATTGGCAAGGCATATGTTACATAATGCTATTTTTAATGAATTATTTTTTGTGACTTGTCTTATTTTTCTATACTACTAGTAGCTGTCTATATACCTACGAGCTATATATCGTTCCAGGATACAACTAAAATACACGACATAGATGATACATAATATACAAACACAGGCGTTCTGTCCAATATACCCAAAAGTCCAATACGATCACCGAACTTACCTCCTCCCTCTAGACGGCGGCTGATACCAACTCCAAATATTCAACCCGACCTTCATCCCCTGAGTGACCGGAAACGCAGCATGCCATGTCTCCGGATACCCTGTCCCATCTGACCTCAGGTTCTCCCAGAAGATGGCGTTCCCCTTGATAGGCTTGAAAGTGATCCCAGATACATTCTCATTCTGAGCCATCTCGCAGTCCAGAAACCGACACCACTGTTCTCCGCGCGGCATCTTCAGACGGGGGAAATTCGTGCCCCCGCCTTCGCACTCATCGCCTAGGTATACCATGAACGTGCTGAGTCTGTCGCCGCCGCGGGCAACAGAACCCGCCCAGTCGAAGTGGTGCTTGTAGTGACCGGAGACGTTGTAGCGTTGGGCCCACATGCGCTCGATGTAGAGGTGTGGTTTCCAGCCTTGGAAGGCGGCGGCGCGGGATTCGAGGCACCGGACGGTGTTGTCGCGGGGGAGGAGGGCGCGGTCGGAGAGTCGGGTTGAGGGGTCGACTTTGGTGGTTTGGCCGTTGTAGATTATTGAGGGGGAGTAGTTTGGTTCACTTTATTTGGTTTGACATTGTTTGGTTAGGTTGGGTCGAAGACTGGGGAATTGGGGCTGTGGGGAATGACAATGGGGATGTCTTGGACGACGTACCTTATCTTTACTAGGTGATCGGCTTCGGAGGTGGAGAGGAAATCTTCAATGTAGATGATTAGCGGGTCCTTGGAGAGGAGGTGGACTCGGTAGGTGTCTTCGGGACATGTTGGGATGATTCCGTCTGGGAGGCTGAGAATCTCGGGGTCCAGTGAGATGTCGCTTTCTGTTGTTGCGTCGGTGTCTGGATCGAAGATGTCCTGGGTTACTGGGAAGAGTTGGCGGAGGAGGGGAGCGATGACGAAGAGGTAGAGCGGAAGGAGGTAGAAGAGGGAGGTGAGGAGGGTGGAGAGGGAAAGTTTGGGCATAATGGTCAATTGGTCCGAGGCATTGGTGGTGGTGATTTTTGTGTGACCTGGGGATCGTAACAGGCAGGGGATAAGGATAGGGATGGTCTGGATGGATGGTCTGATCGCGGATTGATTGATATGATTGTGTTTCGCTGGTGATCGGATGTGCCGGGGAGCTTGATTCCGGTTAGTCAGCTATGCATATGCAGCGCGGCATTATCATGTTAGTGTGCATGTGACAGGTGTGTATGTTGGATATCTCATTCTCCGGCATGTCCGGGATGCGGGGAATCGTTGGCCCCTGGTCAGAGGAGCGTTTGTCAGCGGTCTGACTGTTAACTATCAGTCGTCACTAAGGTTAGTAACTAGCCAGCTGGTCATGACCGTTTGGTCTGTGTCTCTTTACCCGGCGGACTATTGAGGACGATCCGGGTGCGCATTGCCCACCACGTTGAGATGTCAAGTTAGTCCGCCAGCAATTGCGTCATGGCACATGTAGTCGCAGAAAGAGTTCCAGGATCATCCCTTTAGCATCATAATGCGGCGAGGCTTGCGATAATAAATGAGCCAGATGCGGAGACTCCGCATTTGGGCTTCCAGAAGACGCGGAGTATCGTTCATGAGCCGGCCTGTAGGGGTCCTTTGGGTGGAAAGCGAATCCCCGCCGTGTAAAGGGACACCCGGTCAGCTGACAGCTATACCTCTTCGGGCTAGCGTCACCACTAAGCCTGCAGGCAGCCTAGTGTGCCGCCCGTGACCAGACATCGTGTGGATTTCCCGCCTGGGTTTAGACTCGCCTACTTTACTTTGTTATCTTGGGTGGTCGCCTCGCCTCGCCGTCGCCTCCTCGTCTGCTCCAACGCTTACGATAACTAGCGCTTGATATGCAGGTCTTCCCCATCCCCATCCCCGGTGAGCCGGGGTAAAGCTTTCCAGTCGGCCCTAGACGTCCTCTACCCGTTCATCTGACTCCGATCCACGGCGTACTTAGTCTAGATCGGCACCAATCTTTACACGTCTCGGCTATCCTCCGGCCCTAATATCCACCAGGATTGGGTTAAGGCCTCTCCCAACCTCTCTGACTGGTCTTACCTGACTCCATGAGAGCTACGAGTCCCATAATCCCATGACAACCTTGACTAACATGCTGGACAAATGCCGGCTAAAACCTTTCGGGTATCCCAAAGCCTCCGACCTCTCGCTTAAGCTTGTGGAACCTGGAAACCGAATTCCTTGGTTCTCAACAGAATCATCTTCCATCTGGTTCGTCCGGGTGCCGACCTGAACCGGGAGAAAGAATGTGCTGTCCAGGGCGGCGATCTGTCGGGTCGCCAATGCCCCTTCACGCCTCAGCTCCAAGCTTTGCCCCTCCAAGACCGGTCAGCATTTGGTTGGACTCTTCAGATGGCCCACCGGCAAATTCTTCACAACCTACTTTCAACATGGGTAAACTAAACCACAGACGCGACGGGGCATTAGGTCGTGGAACTGTTCTTCTCCCCCACCCACTGGGGTATACATTTTGTTATATACACACTGACTCGGATAAACGCCTTAGCTAGCTGGGGGGATACGGCCCTTATATACTTCCTGCGTTTTGGCCCCTGATCTGCGGCTGAATGTTTCCTGGCGAGACCTTCTCCGCGCCGGCTAAGCGAGACTCAACGTCTGGGGAAAACACTCCCCCGACCCATTCTCCCACATCACGGGGGCAAAAATTGTGGGAATCGTTCTGCATAGTCCGAAGATTAAGTACCTCTAGCTGCATTTTCGGCGTATCACAGCCTCGCTATTCTGTATCTCCAGAATGGTCCTCCCCGGATGGGGTTTGGCCACGACGTAGATTGTGGAGAGCGTTCGAGGCAGGGGAGAAATCCGTATCCACATTCTGGCTGCTCCGTAGAACTCGTAGGAATCCGAAGATATTACTTATGGCCCGGCCCGTCTCTGCCTGTCCTCTCTTTCTTCTTTTCTCCCATCCATCTTTCCTGTTGACAGGACACCTCCTTATATTTTTCTTTCGTCCTTGTCCTTCTTCATTCTCCTGTTGACAGGATTTTTCACGGTCATCAGAGTTTTCTCCTCCCTCTTCTCCCTCCTCCCCCTCCCTCTTCTCCCATACAATGGGTGGAATTCTTCACCTCGTTGAGGACCGTCCGACTCCCAAAAATGTCTACAATTGGCGAGTCTATGTGCTCGCCCTTATTGCCTCATGTGGTTCCAACATGATTGGATATACCAGTGGGTTCATCGGGACGACAATTACTCTGCCTTCCTTTGAAGCCGAGTTCGGGTTGGACAAGATGAGTGATTCGGCCGTGGATCTGATTAGTGAAAATATTGTCTCTTTGTTCATTGCTGGTGCTTTCTTCGGAGCTCTGCTCACCTACGGAATTTCTCACTTCTTTGGACGTAAATGGAGTTTGACCATCTCTTCGGCTGTCTTCATTCTCGGTTCCGGGTTGCAGATGGGAGCCAACGGCTCTCGTGGGCTCGGCATCTTGTACGCTGGCCGTGTCCTTTCCGGTCTCGGCACGGGTGTGGCATCCAACGTCGTCCCGATCTACCTGTCAGAGCTGGCTCCTCCGGCCATCAGAGGCCGACTGGTCGGCTTCTATGAACTTGGTTGGCAGGTTGGTGGTATGGTTGGTTTTTGGATCAACGTAAGTGGCTTTCCATCTTTTCTTTACCCTACTTTCAAAATTCCTCCATCTCTCCCCATCGTTGCCTTATTTATCTTGTCACGTGCCAATGCTGATGACCTTTTCTACAGTATGGTGTTGAACAAACTATGCCCTCAGACCACCAGCAATGGGTTATTCCCTTTGCTGTTCAATTGATTCCGTCGGGTATGCTCTTCATCGGCTCCCTGTGGATGAGGGAATCCCCTCGTTGGCTATTCCTCAAGGGTCGTCGCGAGCAAGCCATGAAGAACCTCTGCTGGATTCGTCAACTCGATGAAAACGATATTTACATCACCGAGGAGGTGGCTACTGTTGATCAAGCCATCGAGGAGCAGGTTGCTACTGTTGGTCTGGGCTTCTGGAAGCCCTTCAGGGCTGTCTTCCAGGCGCCTAGCTTGCAGTACCGCCTCTTCCTGGGTTGCATGCTGTTCTTCTGGCAGAACGCGTCCGGTATCAACGCCATCAACTACTACAGCCCGACTATCTTCGCCAGTCTTGGTGTTACTGGCAACACGAAGGGTATCCTCAACGGTATCTTCGGTGTCGTCAAGGCCGTCTTCACCGTTATCTGGTTGCTCTTCCTGGTTGATCAATTCGGACGTCGGAAACTTCTCCTGTGTGGTGCCGTCTGCGGATCCGCCTGCATGTACGCTATTGGTGCCTACATTTACATTGTCCGCCCGACGGAACACCCCCAGGACCACCTGAATGGCGGAGGTATTGCTGCCATCTTCTTCTTCTACTTGTGGACTGCTGTCTACACCCCCACCTGGAACGGTACCCCGTGGGTCATCAACTCGGTAAGTTCCCTCTACTCCAATCAAGCTGGGTCTCTTATGAACACCTTGCTAACTATCCATGAATAGGAATTCTTCGATCCCAACATTCGTCCGCTGTCTCAGGCTTGCACCACGGCCAGTAACTGGCTCTTCAACTTCCTTGTTTCTCGCTTCACCGAGCAGATGTTCGCTGCGATGAGCTACGGCGTGTACTTCTTCTTCGCGTCGTTGTCCTTCTTCGCCTGGTTCTTCGCCTTCTTCCTCATCCCCGAGACCAGTGGTATCCCACTGGAGGCGGTCGACCAGCTCTTCAAGATCAAGCCGATCTGGAGGGCGAACGAGAAACTCAAGGAGCAGCTGAGAGAAGAAGAGGAACGGTTCCGTCACGAGATGAAGGATGGAGCGTTCGAGAAGAACGACCCTCAGGAGCATGTCGAGAGCGCTTAATTATCTGGCTTATTTTATGGTTTTATACGGACATAGACATTGTAAATAGATTTCAGGAGTTGATATACATACATCGGATCAGGCTTTGACCTGCTGGCAGAACTACCGAATTCGTTCCTCTTCCGTGCATGTGACTTGGTTTCAGCGTAACATAGATGCCTAGTTTCTCGCCGATCTTACCATCCCCGACACAGGTCAAGTCACTAGTAGATACTTTATTTAGGGAGAACTGGTAGCCTTGTTCGATTCCCCATCCAAATAAGAGGAAACGGAGGCCCGGAACACTAGCCTTCCGGTCAGTTCTTGAATAGTATCTGGTGGCGGTTTTGATCACCACCACCGTTTACCCAGCACGTCACCCGCTGCATCTTTGTGCAATCTGTACGACCTGTGAAACCCAGTTGAACCCGAACTCTGAAATATGGAGCACACATGCAGGGTAGTATGTAGAATTATGAAGTTGCATCATCATGTCCGGAGGAAATCTGGAGTGAAGAAATATATCCCTCCAGTCTGCAGCATTGATGCATATTCCAGAAGCAGCAAGGCAAAGGTAAGCACCACGACCGTCGCGTGGGATTCTCTGTGGGTCTTGGCGCTTACATGCGGACATCATTCATGCTACTAAAATATTTAGTCTACTGGTATGTGTCTTTTTCGAACAACCAGACACACAAAGAACCACGGGGAAACTTAGTTTGACAGGGATGTCCCCCTCCCCAACCTTTCCTATTCGTGCTCCGCGCCAGAAAGACCCGATGGATTCCGTCTTACATGCCAAGGGAGGGGCCATTCTGACTAAGAGGAAACCTGACCAACTCAGGCATCGTACCACGGTCAGATGTGACCTTCCAAGACTTCATCCACGGAGCGGGAAAGGTGCCAAGAGGGGGAGGAGGGCAAAAAAGAGAAGAACGTGAAGAAGCGGGTGGAGGAGATTTATTGGCATTGCAAGGCAATGTGGCAGTTCCTCCGAGCAGAGAAAAGAAGTCCACCACATGGTCTGTTACCGATCCATGTGCCTGAAAATTGAGGAAAAGACGGGCAAGAGAGTGAGACATTTGGAATGCCATGATGGGGGATGACTAACAAAGGATTTCCAAAAATGCAATCGGTCGGCGCGGGGTTTTTGAGTGGATGACAGGGGATTGTTGGTGTATAATTACCGTATTGAGACGGTCGCTAACTATTACTAGTAATAAGCCCACTGCGTTATTTGACGGCCTGTTATTGCACTACTAGTGAGACTAGTAGATTACTGACTGGGGTTTGTGAGGGGAACCATGCGCTATGTGTGCAGGTACTTTTACTTGCGAATAAATTTTCACTTGAGTATATATTCAGTATTAAGATGGGTGGACTGACATGTATAGCAAATAACAGCCATTTGTAGTGGTCGCAGTAATAGCAGCCGAAGTTGAAGAGTCACAAAAGGGCAGGCAGACATTTACACACACGCCACCAGCCCCGCACGGCCTCTTGGCCCGGCCGGTGCCCAGGCCTCCAGGCTTGTCGCGTCTTGTCATCCTGGCCAGTCTTGTCCCCGTCTTCCGCCCGGCTGTGCAAGCGGCCTTTTCTAGGCAAGGCTCGGCTCTGAACCCAAGCCTCCCCCTCTCGGCCCAAGACTTCCTCCCTTCCCCTACTCCCCCCCTGATTCTCTGCTGTTCCTCTTCCTCTGGTCCGGCAATCTGTTAGTTTCCCTTATTACTTTCACATCCCCCCCCCCGTATTTCTCTTTGCTCATATTTGCCATTTGTGTTTCGTGATCTTAACAACACTTTTGCTGTCCTTTCTTTTCCCCTTTCCTCCTCCTGGCCAATTCCAATTCTCTCCCTTTTCCAGATATCCGGTGTCGGTGTGCGCATCTGTCAATTTTCTTGTCCGCCACTCCCTCACCGCGCCATCTGTCGTAGTCGATTCTCTTGTTTTCCCTTTATTAGCACCAAGAGTCTTGGGTCTCCCCATCTTTTCTTCCCCTTGCACGCTTGAGGCGGACTTGTGTTGAGTTGCTTTCTACTTCCGCTGCTCCCAAGAAAGGGACAAGAAAGATTTTTCTTGGCAATGTCGGAACCCCAAGACACCACGACGGCCCCTTCGACGACCGCCGCTCCCATGCCTACCTCAACTTCCCAGGATTCTCCTTCAGCTCAGCAACCTGCTCAGGTATCCTCTGCGACCGCTGCTTCTGCGGCCGCGACGGCTGCGGCTGCCTCGGCTGCCGTGGCAAATCCCTCCATGAACGGCACCACCACTCGTCCTTCTGAGGAGTTGTCCTGCCTGTGGCAGGGTTGCTCGGAGAAGTGCCCTTCCCCTGAAGCTCTTTACGTGAGTTCTCCTGTTTTTCTATTCTACATCTCTACTGTGATGATACAGTCCACTAGCAATGGGCTACGTGTTGGCTTGACTCATCACATCCTCGTTTGGATGGGGTAGCTGACCGCCTCGGCTTAGGAACATGTGTGCGAGCGTCACGTCGGCCGCAAGAGCACAAACAACCTCAACCTGACCTGCCAATGGGGCAGCTGTCGCACTACCACTGTCAAGCGCGACCACATCACCTCTCACATCCGCGTGCATGTACCGCTTAAACCACACAAGTGTGATTTCTGCGGGAAAGCCTTCAAGCGCCCCCAGGATTTGAAGAAGCACGTCAAGACCCATGCCGACGATTCAGTTCTGGTCCGATCGCCGGAGCCTGGAGCCCGGAATCCGGACATGATGTTCGGTGGAGGTGCCAAGGGTAAGCGTTTCCCACTCTGACTGTTCTGCACTGCCGGCTGACACGAGATGTAGGCTATGCGACCGCTACGCACTATTTTGAGCCCGCGTTGAACGCGGTCCCCAGCCAGGGCTATGCGCATGGCGCTCCCCAGTATTACCAATCGCACCCTCCCCCTCAGCCTGCCAACCCGTCCTACGGAAATGTCTACTACGCCCTGAACCACGGCCCAGAGGCTACCCACGCTTCTTATGAATCCAAGAAGCGCGGCTACGATGCCCTGAATGAGTTCTTTGGCGACCTGAAACGGCGTCAGTTCGACCCGAACTCCTATGCTGCTGTCGGCCAGCGTCTGCTGGGCTTGCAGAGCCTGTCGCTCCCTGTGTTGAGCAGCGGGCCCCTGCCTGAGTACCAGCCGATGCCTGCGCCAGTGGCCGTTGGTGGTGGCGGATACAGCCCCGGGGGTGCCCCCTCCGCACCGGCCTACCACCTGCCGCCCATGAGTAACGTGCGGACCAAGAACGACCTGATCAATATTGATCAGTTCCTGCAGCAGATGCAGGATACTATATATGAGAACGACGACAATGTGGCTGCTGCGGGTGTTGCCCAGCCGGGCGCTCATTACGTTCATGGTGGCATGAGCTACCGCACCACCCACTCGCCTCCTACCCAGTTGCCGCCCAGCCATGCGACAGCAACCAGCTCTGCCTCAATGATGCCAAACCCAGCCACCCACTCGCCTTCCACAGGCACTCCCGCCCTCACGCCGCCGTCCAGCGCTCAGTCGTACACCTCCGGTCGCTCACCCGTTTCCTTGCCATCGGCGACAAGGGTCTCGCCGCCTCACCATGAAGGAGGCAGCATGTACCCTCGTCTGCCGTCCGCTACAATGGCTGACAGCATGGCGGCTGGGTACCCGACCGCTTCGAGTACCGCGCCGCCGTCTACCCTCGGGGGCATCTTCGACCACGATGATCGCCGCCGGTACACGGGTGGCACGCTGCAGCGCGCTCGTCCAGAGACTCGTCAGCTGAGCGAGGAGATGGATCTTACCCAGGACAGCAAGGATGAGGGTGAGCGTACTCCTAAGGCCAAGGAGCACTCTTCGCCATCCTCACCCGAGCGCATCTCTGCTAGCTTGATCGACCCGGCTCTTTCGGGCACTGCCGCGGAAGCTGAGGCAACCCTGCGGACCGCCCAGGCGGCGACGGAAGTGGCCGAGCGGGCAGATGTACAGTGGGTGGAGAAGGTGCGGCTGATTGAGTATCTGCGCAACTACATTGCTTCCCGGCTGGAACGGGGCGAATTTGAGAACCAGGAGGCTGGCGGCGGCAACAGCAGCAGCAGAAACAGCAGCACTCATGAGCAGACACCAGAGGCCAACCCAGATACTCATATGGAGGGGGTGGAAACCGAGGCTCCAAGTAAGGCCGAGGAACCGGCTGTGAAGCCGGAGACAGGTGATGTGGTGATGTACCCGACACTACGTGGGGTAGATGAAGATGGCGATTCGAAGATGCCTTAGCTTGTTTGCTGGACAATATTTCCTTCTTTCTCTCTGGGCTTATATTCTGTTATATTTGATTCTTCCGGAGCGAGTACTTCCGGTTGCTACGAACTATCTGGGTGCTAGTTTGATTCCCTGTCCACGTGCACGTGGTAACGCAGTGTGATTACACCCATGGGCCATGGGCCGTGTATATGTGGGCCCAGCCCTGGGATTTACTTCCTTTTATTTACGTCTCCTCTCTCATTCCTTGTTGTTTCTTTTTACACGGAGTTCTGTTGGAGGTGTGTGTATGGATGGCGCCGCGGAATGCATGGGACACGGCGCCGAATCCAAATGGCGTCCCATCTGGCTAGCTTATCTTTCCATTCAAGGACAAACAACGTCTGTTTCTGTTGAGCTCAATCCTGTAAATTGTAGACAAACAAATAGTTCCCAAGTGCGTAGAGCTACAGGCTGTTTTCGCTGGGTCGGGTAGGCTGTGATGGAGAGCCAGATTGGCAGACATTCCGATGGCGGGCCACTAAACCGCACGCGGAGAGGCATGACGCAACCAGCGCAGCGGAGAGTTTTGAGAAATGGATGGATCAAGCGCAGGGGCAGCGATGGGCGACGAGGCGATACGTTGATCCGACCCTCGCAGACATGGATCAGCAGGGTTCGAACGTGCCCTCGATGATGCTTTTTTCCACCTTGCCTGATCCGGTGGAGAGGGAAGGAGGCCGAAGGATGCTTTTTCCCCAATGGGGAAGAATGGAAATGGAACCCTGTCAGGATGCCGGTCGGCCAGTCACTTGCTCTGTTTTCCGATGAATGCTTTTCTCTCTCAGTCATAGTATTATGGTTGTCCCAAACAAGGGTGTTCCGGAGACTCCGATCATAGCCGGAAGGCTGATGGTGACATGGTCATTATTGTGGATATGTCATTATTTTTATTGACTGGGATCTTTGTGCTGGTGCTGGCTGTAGCTACAGGTACATCCGACACTTGAGAGTAGACCGTGATATACACAGTAACTAAATACTTATCTCTCGAGGGGAGAGAATGAAGGCGGTGGAAAAGAGAGAAAGAAAAGAAAGAAGGAGCAAAAACAGCACGAGCAACTGCACCCGGCTAGGCCGTGGTCTTCCTTCCATCCTACATCCTTGCATTGGGAGGGATGCAGCTGGTGGGCTCCACTGCCTGTTTACGGCGGTTGCGGCAGCCTCCACTGGTGGACATACATATTAAAACGGGGATCTACTGCGGTCGGGGGAGGTTCGATAATGGGAAAGGGGAGAGGTTAGTCAATTAAAGAAAGAAAGAGAGAGAGAGAGAGAGAAAAGGAGAATGGAGAAATAGTTGGAAAGGAATGGTACTGATTCAGATCCAGATCGGACAAGGGCGATCAACCTTAAATTGGCGATATATGAGCGAGACCGAACAACAACAACTGGCATGAATGTGTTGAAAGACGACAGCTGAGCACAAGTGAAAAATAATAAAAAGAGAAAGAAGGTTGGCGGTGATTGAATTCATTCTTCGGCGTGTTCCCCACAACGGAAGCGGTCACGCTTGATCTTGTTTGGTCCAAACCTGGAACCCGCGGCGCGTTTGCGTGCAATCCATTCACGGCCGTTGCTTTTGCGTTGCAACTTGCTGGTCCATCAATCTTCTTCTTCTCTTTTCTTTCTCTTTGCTTCTCTTGCATTTTACTGCTAGAGTTGTCTTTTTTCTCTTTTTCAACTCCTACCACAATTTGACTCCCTATCACTTTGTCTTACACAATCCCTTTGTCCTACCTACTTTACTACCATCGACTTACTACTTACAATCCCGATCGACATTACACCCGAACCAAACTCTCTCGCGACCGGGTCTCTCCCCGCGGTGGCTGGCCCTTTTCTCGTCTGCATCAGTCAGCCACTTCCACTACCTCTTCCTCCAGTTCGCGTCCGTCTTGCGCGAGTGGCAAACGTTCCCTTGGTTCTTGCTGCCTGGACCTGCCATCCCGGTTTGGGTTTGGATTTTCGCCTGCCCTTCGTTCGGTCGTCATTCATTTTCTCGTCGATCATTTGTCTGTGAATTTCTGTTCCGGCTGAGCTCATCACGGTTGGTCTGCTTTCGCCGCGGATTTCCTGCGACTCGACGTCAACACACACGACCGCTAGCTTCACCCTCTACCCTCAACATCACATCACCACCCACACCACGCTCCTAGATTAGACCCGTTAGACATCCACGCTGGCGACCAGACCACGGACGATACAGATTAGAGGATTTCGACGCTGAACCCCGGTCTTGCGATCGTCCCATTTTAACCACCACCATGCCACTCTCCAACCGTCGTCGCGCGCGGCGCAAGGAAATCCAGCTGCAGGAAACATCGGACGCGGAGGCTCCGGATTCATCCCCGACGCGGCCGTCCAACAAGAAGCGCAAGGTGGGTAGTAGATGAGAGCCCAGCGGTATATCAGAAGGCTCAGCTGTTGACTTACAAGAATAGATTGATCACCGTGCCTCTCCCCAGCCTCGACCCGTGAAGCAGGAATCTGCCGATGAAGCCGATGACTCGTCCCCCGATCAGGAACTGTCGGAAAACCAGGATTTGGTGGATATGGTGATCTCGTATCTGGAAACCGCCCGCGAAGAAGTACGCGTGCTCCGTGATCACTCCAACGCGAAAACCGAAAATAAGCAGAGCATCCGCGCCTACGCCAAAATCGCCGGCCGCAACTGGACCTACTACGTCAAAACCCTCCACGTCAATATTGGCCGCGAGCCCGACCGCGAACAAAAGTTGGATGAACAGTCAAGCCCGGTTACAATCGCCGCCCGCGCGCTGCCGGAGGTAAATGTGGATTTGGGACCGAGCAAGTTTGTGTCACGCCTGCACGCGGAGATCTTTTACGATGGCGAGGAAACGGCGTCCTGGCACATCCGCGTCAACGGTCGGAACGGCGTACGTTTGAACAGTGCGATCCTCAAGCGCGGCACCGATGCGATCCTTTCGTGTGGTGATATCATTGAGATCGCCAATACCCAGATGATGTTCGTCACGCCCGGCGATAAGGCCAATATTCATCCCACCTTTGTGGAACGCGCCCAGCGTCTCGCCAACGGAGAGGAGGATGTGGCTACCTGGGATGCCTCCCAGCATGCTCATCCCCAGCCTCCCTCGACGGCCGCTACTGCGGATGCAGCCCCAGCCACGACGGGCGCCCCTTCGCTGGCTCCCGCACCGCAGTTCCTCAAGCGTCAGGTGACGCCGCCCCCGCGGTCGCCCGATACGGTGGGAGCGCGCACGGCCAAGCAGTCGCCGCTGTATAACCGCGGTATGATGATGGAGAGTACGGAAGAGATCGATTACAGCAAGGATGCAGCCAAGGACTTGAAGCCACCGTACAGCTATGCGACATTGATTGCGCAGGCGATCTTCTCGAGTGAGGAGGAGAAACTTACGCTGAACAGTATCTACAACTGGATCATGGACAAGTACGCATTCTACCGCCACTCCCAGAGCGGTTGGCAGGTGAGATTAGTCTCTTCTATGTCGAAAGAGAAAATACTAACAAGTAGCAGAATTCCATCCGTCATAATTTGTCCTTGAATAAAGCATTCCAGAAGGTCCCCCGGCGCACAGACGAACCCGGCAAAGGCATGAAATGGCAGATTGCCCCGGAATATCGCGAAGAGTACTGGAAGAAGCAGCTGCGGAAGGGAACGCAATCGTCCGCCCCGTCGTCACCTGCCACGAGGGATCCCGCCGCTCGGGGCGCCAACGGCATGGAGGCGGTGTTTTCGGCCACGAAGAAGTCACCACCGGTGTCGTCTCCTGGGTTCAGCTCATTCCCGGTTGCACCAATAGAAGCGTATACTCCCGAACGAGGCTCCCGTGCCGCCCGGAACGGTGCAGGAGCTCCCTTGCGACCTTCTAATACCCGCGACTATGAGGAACCATCCCCTCTGCCCACACGATCCGCCACGAAGAACACCAGCAACGGCACCAGTCTCAGTCGGACTTATGGCTTGTCAGACAACATTGCCGGATCCCCGCCTGTGCTGTCATCGTCATACTACGATGACGGCCCGTCATCGATGATTACGCCAGCACCGCAACGCCAGCAGCCACGACTGCCTCCGCCTAGCACCGCACAGATTCCATCTAAATTTATGCCCATGAGCTCTCCCGCGCAGTTCTGGAAGTTCGCAGACATTGGCAGCACGCCGGCCCGGCCCGTGCCAGACATGAGCCCACTGAAGGGCGAATTGGGCGACGGACTGGGAAGTATCCCTAGCAGCAGTCCACCACCACCGAACCTAGCCAGTCCCAGCAAGCCAGGCACGGCCAATGGAATGACGACTGGCCGCATGCCACCACGCCGTGAACCGGAGACGAAGAACGAGCGACCTGACGAGGAGGACGACGAAGAGGAGGGGAGCGGATTTGACCTGGCGAGGTGGGTGCCTTCCATGCCTTTTCCCTCTCGGGGAAGACAGTATACTAACTAACCTGGTATAACAGGGGCTTCCAAACCATTGGCTCGTATCATCGACAGCTGAGCAACGCGGCGCGGACGAGTGCAGCGACGTCGTAAGCAGCGAGCAGCTAGTCACGATGTCTGTATGTATGCATGTCTGTATGTTATAATGTATGTACTATGACCGGATTAGAGCGTATATTTTGTTTTGTCTGCTTGCTGCTTTGCTTTATTGCTTTGATTTGCTTCAGTCTTACAACAGGGGCTTGCAGCAATGGTGTTTGGAGGTTTGCTATTAGATAATGAGAAATGATGAGTATTTATATAGCATATCTTATTATCAGCCTGGACTTTTTTTTATCATTACATCACACAATAAACCAGACCACACCATTACGAGATGAGAACTATTGAGAGTATGAACAATTTATCATCTTTACATACTAACGCATAGGAGTCAATAATCAAATTATCTCGCATTAAAACTCAGCACCATATACTAAGTATACACTGTTAGTATGTTTCTAATTCACAGGCATACTAACCGTAAGAGAAAACACACATTTCATTAAGAATAATTCTTTTCAAGAATACTTGCATTCAGATTTAGCATATCACAAAGTATATTAGTAGTAAATGTTCAGAGGGAGCAGATTATAAATACTAGTAGATGCTGTGTAGATTTGTTTACTTGAGTGCCAGGTATCTGGTCCACAATTTATACTACCTTATTTGGGAAAGAAGGGTGGCGATATGGGTCCTGTTTTACTGTGGATTCAGGGATCCATAGCTACTGCTAAGCTAGCTACAAAGCAGTTATTATGGAAGGAAGATAAGATGGTAATGAGATGTAAATAGACCGAATTCATAGTCATACACAAACGTCACCACCCTGCTACATCTCACTAACCAGACCGACTTGACTCCAGAAAATATCTCAGTTTCATATCACATAGCAGAAGAAGTTGCAAATAAAAGTTAAGAATATATCCAACCAAGACTAGATTCATTAGAAAAGTATGAACCTCGACTAATCAATCTATCACGGCCCTACACCGACCCGAATCAGACGACCATGCCATCCATCCTGGTCGGATACGACAACTCGACATATTATAGTAACCTCTAGATATTAATCAACAACCCACACCCCTCCCATAGGAAAAAAATCAAAGAGGGATCCACATATCCCGCACACACACGTCACAGAACCACCGTAAAGGGGGTATGCTTCCGAGACCCTGCGCTAAGGATTGATTGATTATCTTATCTGATCAACGTGCAATTTACATTGCTGATCGCTTATTAGCCCGGCCTTGGTTTGATGGATCCAGTTGCTCTGAGACATGGCAATTTGCCAAGAGTGGTTGTCCCTGCGCGGACGAAGAGGGACCGAGGTCGGATCAGGACAGAAGTTGTAAGTAGAGGGGAAGTGAGGGTGTAAATTGGGGTGAATGGTCGGTGGGAATGAGAAAATAGATCATCACAATTGAATATTCTCTTCAAGCTATTTACGAAATTCACATTCTTTTCAAACCCTGAAAAAGAAATCGGGCAATGCGTCCCTCCAGCATCATCACTTTCCTCTCGTTGGCGGTTCTGCCTGTTGCGCTGGCTAGTCCAATCAATAACCAGGTACTGCACTCTTTCTCTTTCTCTCTATCTCTTTCTCTCTATTTCTTGACTTGATTCAAGGAAATGCTAATCAATGTCATACGGATAGGACTCATCCATCGCCAAACGCTGCTGCATCCTCTGCGACAATCCCTATGCGCGATGCGGAGCGAACGATAAGCGTGAAGCCGTCCAGACAGAGGAGGAAGTGTTTCAGGGACCGGAGAAGCGGTGCTGTGTTAATTGCGATGTGAATCGGTGTGGAAATTAGAGGGGAATGTTCTGTTGGGTTGTTGAGTGAGGTATTGGCTTTCAACTGATTTGGAATGTGCTTCGATGTATGAAGGGAGGGCCGGGGGCTTAAGGTATTGTCATTATACTACCTGTTAAGTAAGTTATAGTATACAAGATATGATAAAATAACATCACTACTATGGCTATTTAAGAGCTACCCACCAAGAGTGGCAGTCGGAATTATTTTCATGACTAATCGCAAGTTGAAAGGTCCATACATGTGCCCAGGAGTGTCATCGGGGAGATCGAACATTGATATGGGGTAAAATAGCCTACTCATCAATGCTCCTACGCTGATGGAGTAATATAACAGCTTTGGACTTGAGCTCTGGACCATTAACTAGCCCATAACTTCCAGCGGCCACGCGCAACCTCATTACTGTTCCGCCAACATGCTCCCGACTAGCAGACGTATCTAATGCCCTCTCCCGAAGCACTTAACATTCAGGCTCTTAGTTCACCAATTTTAACCCTACGAAAGGCACAAGTGTGCCACCTCGCAAGATGGTGTCCAATGTTTACTGTCCGTTTTGTGGGGTGATTCTGCTGCCCGACCCATACTGGGATGGTCCGGATACTCCACAGTCCAGCGCCCGCCCTTGGTACGCACAGGTTCGGGGTATCTACTCGACCAATCCTGCCGTTGATCATATCAAAACTACGGGGGTAGGGGTAGTACGCGGTCGGAAAACCCTCCATGCACCACTGGACAGCAACCGAGTCTACGGCGATGTAGCGTTTGACGCCCTAGATGAATGGAGGCTTTGCGAACAATCGGATAGCCAATGGTGTTTCGGATTTCACGAGTCGTGCTGGAAAATGCTCATTCTGAGGCTCAACCATGGGCGAGTCGGATCGCTATCACAAACTGACGCCGCAATTGCTGAAATGGTATTCTACCAACTCTACTGCACTCCGTGCCTCGAAGCATCCATCTTCCACTTCGGCCATGACTATGCGGGCGCTGCGCGAACACATAAAGTGTTCGGGCGGATACAGCCGGTGGATCTGGACTCCCATCTTTATGCTGACCCCTGTGCAATTTCGGTTATGAATTTTCCGACTGATTCCAGTTCTGCTTCTGGAGAATTGGGGAGCAGTCCCGGGCGAAAATTGTCGCATGATAACTCAACAGTAGGAAGCCTCGCAGAGGTTGGGGAAAGGAGGTACCATGCTTTCAGAAACCTCTCAACCGAGCTGCTGCTTGAGATCTTTTCCTATATACCCTTTGAACAGCATCTCACTCTGAGACTAGTATGCCACGATTTAGCGGTACTCGCAGATATGTCTTTGCTCTCACGGTCGTATTGGCGGAGTAGGTTCCTTCTCGGCCAGGAGGCTGACTTTGTTTTCCCTTGTCTTTCAGAATCACAAAATTGGTTCAGACTTTTTTTCGCCACGAGGGCATCTTTAAAAGCTGCCACGCTACCACTGGTCAATCGAAAGAGAATCCGGGACCTACTGGAGCCCATCGCCTCTCTTGTGGACCTAGACTCCGTTTTTCGACGCGGCCCCGGCGGACTGGACTATTGTCCATCGCTAATGCGAGGGAACAACTTCACCTTGGTTGATATAGAAAGTTTCCAAGCGGGCCCACGGCTAGCGAAGGTTGTGGGCTACTTCTCAGGTCAGCTGGCATACATTGATGAAAATTGCCCCCTGCAAGAGGGATGTCGTGTGCTCTATCGAAAGGCACAGCCCTTCATGGTCCCGCAGGAAGAACATGAAAAGCGAATTGGTATATCAACTGTCAAGATCGGCGCACGCCGGTTTATCTCTGGTATCAATATATTGCCGTCGGACGAAGGCAACTGCGTTGGTCGATTGATTGGTTATCGCAATCCAGCTGCCGAAACTTGTATAGACATGCCCACAAACCTCCTCATTAAGGCTTTTCGCGTGGCATTTTGCTCGGAAGGCTTAGTGGGAATCCAGTTACAATACGATAACTCTGCTTCATCATGCTGGATTGGTCATAGCAACGGCCCAGGCATTGCTCAAGGAACACTGCAGATTCCGACAAGAGCAGATCAGTACCACTTGCTTGCGGACATAGACCGGTTTAAGATTGTTTCACTTGGCCTTGCTGACTGGATTGACGACCATCAAAGCTCTTTGCATCGGACTCATTCGGACGTAAAGGAGCCGTTCCACACGCCTTCGCAACTGTGGATTCCCCATGCCCCCATGCATGAAGGCTTGCTTGTCAGCCTCCTTCTACCGTCTGGGTCACCCCGTGCCTTTGAACCGCTGTCAAATATTGACTTCGGTGGCCCAGGAGGTAGATGTCTCATGTCGTTGATCCGACTAGACTTTCACATGACATCCTACCCACACCCTCTTATCGGCATTGGCTATCACTACGCCGACGGAAAGTCGGTGTTCTTTGGTTCTACGGGTGGTTGTGCTATTTCAATTCCCATCAATGGCCCAAGTGGTGAACGTATCAGCGGGATACGCATCGTGGAAGATAATCGTGATGTTTATCATTCTGAAGGCCTTGGTGGGCTACAGGTCTGTCTTTTTTATTCCCACCAGCCTGTGCACCATGCTAACCTTGTCAAGGTGTCAACTAACTATGAGCGGTCTATCATATTGGCTCCCCTTTCCTATCGGCTCGAAGCATCTGTTACACCAATACCAAGCTTGCCGCCTGGCCGTTTCATCACAGGGCTTGTTGCCCACCAGAAGGTAGGTGAAGCTTCATGAACTAGTTCGAGCAATAGCTAAGCAGGTGACAGACACACGGAACCCATTTTATCCGAGTCGGTATCCAATCACAATTCTGTGACGAACCATCCACAATTCCACACATCTTAGACCGAGAATGTCATCTGGTGCCGGATGATCAAATTCGTTACGACGAGAAATTCTCCCATTTTATTAACGGCAGCAATTCAGGTAACTATCAAAGCTATGCATCACTAAGGGGAATCCGTAAGATTCAGGCATCCGCTGGCATAACGGGTTGGTCCCGCCCCCAAAATGGCATCTCTGGCCTGAAGCTTGAGTATTACAACCATCCCAGTCCAGCCATTGTTGGACAGTGGATGAACGGACTTGAAGATGGGTTTGATATATCACCGGACGAAGAAATCCAATCAGTCACCGTGTGGATCGCTCCTCTGGGCTATTCTTCCGAGTCTCCGGGGTTGGCAGTGGGTCAAGTCGCAGCCATACGCTTCGAAACAACATGTGCGCGCAGTGTGACTTTTCGTTCCCCGCACCCTCATACCTTTCCCACTGGAACGATACGAAATGAATACCAACGTTGCTTCGATGAGGAATTAACAGCCATCTCATGGATCTTCAACGAGTCTTCGGACCGCGTCCGAGCAGTGAATTCTCCCCACAGAAACCGGAGGCCTCGACTACTTGTCCCAGAAGTCTCTCCTCCTTTGAACCTGGTGCGGAAGCTCTACTTCGAGACATGGAATGACAATACCTGCCCCGAAAAGGTAGTCACCATCGAAGCCTACTTTCGAGGCCGCGCAATCATTGGACTGCTCTTCGTCTATAGATCAGGTGTCATGGCAAGCACGGGCGATTTAGACACCGACTCTCGCCAGGCCGTTCATATTGCGCGGGATGATAATATAGTCGGCATGTCAGCTACAGTCGCAGGATCGGAGCTGGTTGAGATTGACTTCGAGGTCGAGCACAACGCATCGCCCAAATGCCAGAGGCTTAGTCTCGCCTTAGAACCGCCGTACACCCCGGAAACAGCTATGGATTATGGGTGGCGAGATGTATGGTGTAAGGATAAAGCAACTGTGGAGTGCACTACCCGGCAGGGCGGGAGCGACAAGGTGTATGCGGCCCCGAGCAACTCGAGACTTATGGGAATCTACATTGGGTGCCAAAGATTCAGCAGCGTGGGAGCAATATACGAGCCCGATATTTCTCATTGATGACGGAGATTCAAGTTTCTTTCGAGTGAATACTAGGTGCCAATTCAGTGTGCCAAAAATCCAGATTCTTGTAGTGAAGCTTTCGGGTCCAGAGCCATTCAAAGAGCTATTGTGTAACTCCCCATCTCAGAATTGATATATCTCAACTAGAATAGTATATATTTCTCTACATATTTATATATGAAAACTATATCAGATATCAGAGTATTTATAAGGCATCTTATGTAACTTTATGGATATAATAGGATACTGTTTCACTACTTGAAATATTTAAATATTATTTGTATTCTCTTGGAACGGTTTACAAAAGCCCAAAAAAAGAAGGAAAGAAAAGAAAAAATCATCAAGATTATTTATTATCTCTATTATCTTTAGACTTGATGAAACTAGGCTCGCAAAAGACCAGTTTTGTATGGCATAACATGGGTGGCCGGCGCGGCCGGGAGTTAGTACGTTAACAGGTGGTGGAGTCTAGCAATGTGACTACTCGTCTAGCCCACACACACTAACAAGGATCATGAAGCACTCGTCGGTATGATGCCCCATCAATCTGCCTTGCTACTAGACTACTACTTTCTAATTGAAGGGAAGAAAATGGCCACGCTGCTCCATCCACCCCGCCTTGACTCGCACTATACACGATGTCCCGAATGCAGCCTTACCCAGCTCAGTATTTGCTCTTGTGCGCGCCAATCCTAGCATCAGCTAAGTTCGAGCACTTCTAGTTCTTTTCACTCGCCCGAACCCATGATAACTAGTCATTGGCCATACCAGAAGTGGGCGCTTAACAACTCCAAAAGGCGTAGCAGATATGGCCCCCCAGACCAAACACAAGAACACGAAACACCAGAGCTAGCAGATCATTAGCCGCCGAGCCACCCAAGAGGGAACACTAAAGAACCATGCTCTAAAAACAAGCCATCTCCATCTTTTTCAAAAACGATCATTACCCTCCATGAAACTCAATCAATTATCCCAGTCTGTTTTCCCTCCCCAGACTGCCCCTACATCCCCTGCCCTCTACCTCCCCTAGCAAAGAGCAACAGCAACATCACAATGGCCAACGACACCAACGACCTCGCCCCTCCATTCGGCTACCCCGTCCGCCGTAACGGCACCTGCTACGACACCGAAAACGACTGCGGTTCAACCTGGGGTCCCTACCGCGAATGCTGTCCCAAGGGCGCCACCTGCGCCCCCGGGAACTGCTGTCACTCTGCCGCAGCATGCGGCAACATTCTCAAACTGGATCCGCATTGCGGGAATACCTCGGCCCTTTTGTATTATGAGAATGATTATTTCTGTTGTTCGAGAGGGCTGGATGCGTTTGCGAGGGTGTCGAATGGGTTCGTGGGCTGCACGGATGATGTCTCCACGTTGGGGTCGGAGTTTAGTCTGTTGTCGCCGGTTTCGACGACGAGTTCGTGTACGTTTTATCTTTCTTTCCTGCCTGCTTGCTTGATTTGATGGGTTGAGACTAATTGGGAGTAGCTACATCAACTACTGCATCTGCTACGGTGACGTCAGATGCATCTTCGTCTACATCGACAGCAGATACTAGTGGTTTATCGTCGTCGATAATATCATCGGCGACTGCGCAACCTACGACAAATGCGTCTTCAAACACAGAAAGCAAAACGAATACGGGTGCCATCGCAGGTGGGGTAGTAGGTGGTGTCGCCGGCTTAGCACTCATTATCTTCATCATCTGGTTTATGATCTCGAGAAGGTTACAAGCCGCACGGAGACATGCAGATGATGATATGCCTTCGACATATATAGGTCATCGAACTAAGAACAATCATCCGAGGGAGCTGCAGGGAGATGCGGCCGCTCCACCTGTTGCTGAGTTGGTGTTTGCTCCGCCGGTTTATGAGTTGGGTTCACGACCTCCTGTTTATGAGTTGGGGTCGAGGCCGCCTGTTTTTGAGTTGGCGGGGGGTGTGGATGGGGGAAGGATATAATCATCATGATGTTGATGAGTGGATTCACTTATTGTATATATTGCATGCTAAATCTTGATTATGACAACTCTCAAAGGAGCATGTTTTTTTTCTCCTAATTCTAACAGGTGTGTAGAAGAAATTTCACTTTCCGTATCTCGCGTCTCGAAGCACTGGATTCAGCTTCGATTTGCGATAAGTAAGTGTTCTTAGCAGACAAGAATATACCCAGAAATGCTGCTTCAAGCAAAGGACGCACCGTTGGCACGCAGGCATTGGTAATGGCTGGGATGCTGAAAATAACGCAGGGTCTGTGACTATGAGATAGCAAATGAACGATGTCCTGGCTATATCCAGCGCTACTTCTATTCACAGTTAGTGGTTGCTAGCATGCAGCTGTTAACTAGTCGTCTCCACTCAGTGCTGCGCCAGGACCTCATTTCATGGCTCGGGTATTAGAGCGACAACTCGGGGAGATTACGATCGACCTGTAGCCGAGACCCGAACGTTGTTAGTATTCCAGCCTCGACTTTGTGGATGATTACCAGAGTAAAAAGTATAGCTCTTATATCGTTGCTGTGTAAATCACATTCAACAAAAGATTGTTTCTAGTACATAGTAGCAGTATCAACCAAAATCGGATAACAAACACCCTCCGAACCAAAACGGCAACACCCGACCAGGAACAGTAACTAAAGCTAACGGATATGCCCTCATCCATCCCTCCCCCCTCTCCCCCTAATTATAGCCGGTCGAAAACTAAGTATCTCGCCCCGCCGGCACCACTACTCATTTCAGTTTAGTTAGTTAGTAAGTCCACTTGATTTATCCTCCTGCTTTTTTCAGACTTAGTGTTAGTGACTTTTACAATCAGCTATTCTATCCCTAATAACTCCAGCCGCCCTTTCTCACTTATCCAGCTTGCCAGCTTAGTACAATATCACAAGCGCCCCGAACATCCAATCGAACCGATATTCTGATATTGAGTGGGCCCCTTTGCAGATCCATTCCAAGTTCAGAGTCTACTTACTCGATAGAGATTAGAGGAGACAGAACTAGCTGATAGCAGCCCCAACGGGGAACATGAAGGGTGGGCCAACCAGCAGGGAGCATTGAGGTCGGTGCTGAGCGGAGTGGCTGCTGTCGCTCCCGTCGGCTTGGGGTGGGCTTGGTTAAGGCTTAGGCTTATGAAGGAGGATCCGATCCTGAGTTGGGTCGGGGTTCTTTGACTGTTAACTTGATGTATGCATTGAATGACAGGTGGATTTTGTTCCTCATGTAGCATGCATTCTTGTGAGCTTACTATGAGGGATAGGATATGAAAGCATACATACATGATAGTACAATAAAGCAAGGTGTATACAGAATATCCTCCAACTCCTTCAACACCAGTAACAGAAACCAAGAATAGTATCAACATCCAATATCCACGAAATACCCCCTCAAATACTCAAACTAGATTTCTCTTCCCCCCATCCTCCCTCCCTCCAAACCCACCCTGCACCGTCCTCGGACTCTGTAACCGAATAGGCTGATGTCGTCGGCCTCGAACAAACCGCACCGCACGCAGTATCACCAATACCACCAGTACCAGCAGCGCCAACTTCATCGCAACACTTCCATACTCTCCAGGAAACGACCTATCCAAGCGATGATGTGGTAGTAGTGCATGATGTGGATGATTGTTGGCGTTGATGTTAGCGTTGTCGGCTGACGCTCCCGGCCGTTCATGATGATACCCATGATGGAGAAATGTGCCGTGAGGGGTGTATTTATGCTTATTATCGTCTGCTTTTGCATGTGCATCTTGACCACCATGTTCTGGAACAGGTAGAGGGCCAGGAGGATGGTATTTCTTTTCATCGCTGCCAGCTGCGTTGTCGTCGGAGTTGCCTTGGAGTTCCAGCCATCGCTCGTAGTCGGTTTTGGGTCGGTCGCGGGCGGTGATGGCTACCATTTTGTATTATGCTTTATTGGATTGGAGGATATTTCGGAGTTTGGGGTAATGATAATTGTGATAATAATAATAATAATCAGGCGTGTGTATGTGTGTGGTGTAAGACCAAGCAAAAAATGATAAACAGGTGAGAAGCTTGTCTTGATCAAAGCCAGACAGAAGTGGATGTGAGAGTGAAAGTGGATGAGATTATCATTCGGAAATGAACAACACCAAGAAAGACAAGACAAGAAAAGACACTCGCCCCGATAAATAAGTTGTCAATGCTTTTTCCTGGACCGGGATCAGCCAGTCAGACAGAAAAGGCACACGAAAATGACTAGACTAGGATGCGACACAGCCTACTAACCACTACTACTAATACTACTTCTACTACTGTTATGTAGGACAGGACAGGAATCAAGAGGGGCGATCGCCGCCCATCAAACAGCGCCTAATAAATGGAGTACTGGACCGGGTTCTAGCGCTACGACGTTACTAGATTAGATTCGGAAGTTCCAGGCTACCTAGTAAATAGTCTAGCGCCGGGCGTTTCCCCTGAGCTGAGGCGGTTACCTTGAATTCTCTTTAGTTAATTGGTGTATTTTCCGTGGGTGAGACCGGATCAAACGCAGACCCTGGACGTTAAGCTATTTTCGTGGGTTTAAAGTGGAACATTTGGAAACACTGGTGGTTCATGTGCGGTGGGTGGTTTGTAATGAACCATTAGGTGTGGATGCTTCGAAAAGAAAAGAAATGAAAAAGCAAAGGAAACCTTCACAGATAAAAAGCATCAACTAATACGAAACTTTATTGCAATAGGCAACAGACTGAACTCTTTGAAGGACAATTTAGGTAGACACATTACAGAGTGAACAACACTTCTTACCTTGTAAGGCTGATTCCATTCTCCCCTCCCAATAAATTACGCAATAAATGGCAAGTCACAAGAGGACACTTCCTTGTGCTTGTCTTCCATTCGCTATTCACACACACAGGGTCCATGATCCTGGTTCTGTCCTGGTCCCCGCCAGTCTCACAATTCTTTTTTTGGCTTTCACCGGACGGCACGAGCCGCTATGTCCAAACCCTCCAATCAGGTGAGATGTAGAAGAGGAAGTGGGTGCAGGGTTCAGAGGGTCGTGTGCCCATAGTACCCATGTCTTTTCAATGAGCGGGTGGAATATTCGGCTATTCTTGGGCGCTGGCGCTTAGTGCGTTGAAGCGATTGGACATGATCACTGCTTGGTATGTTTCTTCATAGTGTTTATATGATTACACCCGAGAGGATGTCAAAGGCCATTGGAAAGAAGGTAGGAATTGTTGTGCACTGGCGCTAGATTTAATAGCGTTAAGCAGTTATGGAATTACCTTTCTAGTTAATTCGCAACACATCTGTGGTGCACAGAAAAGCTCTTACTGGTATATTTAAAGCACTAGCATACATTGCGAAAATACAGCATTCTGATCAAACAAACAAGGATATCTCAAACATGACCTATAAAAAACACATTTACCAACTTGACCCAACAAGTTTTAGATCTTCAATCATCTCAAGCAGTCGTGACCTGTCGCTTGGGCGCCGGCACATCGCCGTTATAGTGTACTTTGTAGGCTGTAGTAATCCAGGTTAGCAAGATTTCATGCACAAATAGCAAAGGCAAACTCACTAGTCGGGAACGGGGAGTAGCTGCCATGGTCCTCCCGCATGTATACAGAGAACCCAGCTTCCTGGGGAATCTTCTTCAACTTTCCTTGAGCGCCAGGAGCAGGACGGAGAGTGTCCAGACGGACGACAACCCGCACCATGGCAGTCACCGCAGCCAGGGTGGCATCCTTACCCAGGCCACTCTGAGGGCCAAGGCCATAGTGAAGGTAGGAGTCAAGAGGGCGGTCAAGGCGAACCTCGTCGGGTGATGGGAAGGCCTGAGGGTCACGGTTTGCCTTCGCCTATGTGGTATTAGCGATGATCGTGCTTCAAGACTGGGTGATACGTACCGAGCCGACAAACACCTTGTCACCAGCCTTGACGCTGTATTGGCCGGTTTCATCAGACACGTTGATGTTGTTCTGAGCCTCGCGGTAAATGCCCAGGTTGCCGTTCAGGCGGACAGCCTCCAGGCAAAAGCGGGTGAGCCTGTCATTAGCTTCCGCAGTGTTCTCATTGGCCAGGCGGTTGATCTCCGGGAGATACTGCTGGCCCTCGGTAAGGTAGAAGTGGATTATTTGGGTGAACTATTCCAATGTCAGTGTTGCACATAATAACATGCTGCATAGGAGGCCTACCATTTGAGATTGGGTGTGGACCATCTCAACAGCGGCCGGCAAGATCTGGCCCCAAGTCACATCGGAGACTCCCAGGCCACTCTCCAAGAGGCGCTTGATCAGCTGATCTCCATAGTCCTTCAGGGCATTGTGATCGTCGCGGAAGCTATCGATGATGCCGTGAAGGAAGCCAGGGTGGTTGATGGACTTGACATGGGCTTCCACAACCTTACCCAGCTCCTGGGAAACCGCGCGGGCTGCATGCTGGAGCGGGAAGGACTTGGTAGGATCAACATCAAAGAAGGTGGAATTGAAGACCACCGCCATGATCATGAACATTTCGTGTTCGGTAAAGATGCCGCGAGGATTGCTCTTCGTCTTCAGTGGCAGCGAGAAGACCTTGGAGACGAAATGCACAGGCACGAGGTTTCCGACACTGATCTCGTTAGCATGGTCACTATCTTACGTCGGTTTAGACGACTTACTCCCTTGCAATGTCAACCTGCTTGTTACCAGCAAGCTTGCAAGACTTCTCATTGAGTAGCTTTAGGGTGGCGTCCTCGTAGAATTCTTTGACGCTATTTCTCCACTGCTCATTGTCGAATGACTTGCTCCAGAAGTCGGCGCCCCCCTTTCCGGCATGGATCGAGCTGAGTCCACCCCAGGGCACAGTGAAGTCTTTCTGGCTGTTCAAGACTAATTGCGCGTTGGAGTAGGACAACAGGTTCGGAACAGGCTCCGTGTAGCGGGGTCTGTCATACGAATAGTGGGACTCGCGACCGAGGTTCTTCATGATGTTCCTGTTCTCGGAGGGGATGGTCATTGGGTAGTGCGCGTAGATGGAGTCGGGCTTGAAGTAGTTAGGGAAGGCCCGCATCGCGAGCTTGTAGAACACACATCCCTGGTTGATGTTGAGATCGTAGCGGACCTCATTGTATCCCCAGTTCGTAAGGTTGCGTGGGTTGTAGTCAATCTGGACATATAGTTAGCAACGCTTCTGGCAGGCATGCTGGATTGACTCACAGTATAGTACCTGTCACCACGGACGAGAGCCACGGCATCGGAGAGAACCGCGCGGGAGATGGTGTAGGTAGGTGCAATACCAACACCGGGGATCATGGGCTCCTTCGCTTCCTCGGCGACAATACCAGGGTAGAGCTCCACATAGTCTGGGTGCTCATACAGGTGTCGCAAAGCGTCAGCGACCTCCGGATCAGAATTGATGTCCTCGAACTTTTCGTATGGCTTCAGGTCGAAGAACTTGCGGAACTCGTTCAGAGAGCCGACGTTCCACTTGCGACCCTGCTCAATACCAAGGATTTCCACAGATTTCAGGACCTTGGGCACATTCCGTGCACCGAAAGAGCCTGCAATGGTAAGTAAATTGGCTATTCTGTTTGTAAGAGTTACACTCACTGGCAACATCCTCAATCGCATTGGACAAGATTCTAACGAGGTCTTCGTCCTTGAATGTTCCATCTTCCTGTCGCTTCAGACCGGCAAATGTGCGCTTGGACGGGTCCTTCGGAATCTCTTGCTCGTATTTCTTGAGCCCGAAGAGAAGTTCACGCATGGATACCTCCGAGGCAGGCTTGCCCATCAGCTCTTCGTAGATCTCTTCAGTCCACTTCTCATCGTTGGCACTAATAGCAGAATGCCAGCGGTATGCGAGGTTGAATTCGACAGAGCACTGGTTACCGAGACCCGACGGGGTACTCTTAGTGCCTTCCATCTGAACTCTAGGGTCCTGTTGCTAGTCAGCTTGCTCCTTGCTTCTTTGCCATCTGTGTTCACTTACCAGGCACCATGTGCTGTTGCTGCGATTCAGATTGACGATGGTGCGCAAATAATCGTACAGCGTGATGTTGATGAACAGGCCGCATGTAACCCTATAGAGCGTCAGGAATGCATGCTTGCAGTAATGCGATTTGGAACATGACATACAGGCGTCCGGTCTGGAAAAGATCGTTGTCATACTTTTCCCAGGCCTTCTTAGCCTTCTCTTCGTCGAGACGAGGATCGGGCTTGTTGAAGCGACCGTTTTCATTGATCGCTGCCAACTCCTCCACAACCCAGTTGTGGAATCTGTTTAGTAACCAGTTAGAAAGTTTTTAGTATGTCAGGAAGCGAATGTATTGCGAACCTGCTCAGCATAACCATCAACACGGAACAGGCCGGCGGGAAAGCCTGGAGCCGCTGTTCCGAAAAGGTATCGGGCTTCAATTTACCATCCTTGAAAGTCCGAACCAAGTTCTGGTCTTCCTGATCATCACCGTACAGGATCGAGAGATCGAGATAGGCTGAAGTCTTGTTGACATGAGGGGTCGTGTAATCGGTCTGGAAAATGTCTATATTTCTGATTAGCGCTCCTCTGTGACGTTGGTGAAAAGAGCTAGCGAACCATGAATGACGAGGGACGCCCAATCGAAGAAAAGACTCGACACCTTGTTAGGGTGAGGGGTAAACTTCTCGCGCGCGAAAAGACAGTCGAAAACAAGACCGGCATCAGGTAAACCGCCGGGCTGGATAGTCAGGGGCGCGATTGAGCGAGCGTAAGGCGTCCCCGCAGCGCCCAGCCAGGGAAGTGTAGGGTTGTTGTTGGAACCATCTGCTGAGCGGTAGGCATATTCCTCTCCCATGTAGCTGCCGAGTATGAGCGTGAGCGCAGTTCACGGGACAAATATCAAGCCTCAACTTACGACAGAGGAGGATGAGGCAAGGAACCCCACAGTTCGTCCAAAAAGGCGTTGGTGAGGTCGACGCGGGTTTTTGAGTTTCCTGGGAGGCTGCTGACAAGCTGTCGGAAGAGTTAATTAGCATGCATGCCAGTCAAGGTAGAACTCCAACTTGTTTGCCTCACCTGGATAATACGCTCCATGAGCATAGTCTTGTCATCAATGTATTCTCCCTTGGCCTTCGTTTTGATTAGGTCCTTCAGGGTGCCAATGTCCTTGAAGCCCAAGGCGCGAAGGTCCTTGAACAAGCTCCCCGAATGCTCCTGCTCGAGATAGGTGCCATCGCCGGTTTGGTTCGGTAGAGGGCGCCGGGATGCATGCAAGAC